TCAGTACTGTGTCCACCCTCAGCACTGTGCCCACCCTCAGTACTGTGCCCACCCTCAGTACTGTGTCCACCCTCAGCACCGTGTCCACCCTCAGCACTGTGCCCACCCTCAGCACTGTGCCCACCCTCAGTACCGTGTCCACCCTCAGCACTGTGTCCACCCTCAGCACTGTGCCCACCCTCAGTACTGTGTCCACCCTCAGCACTGTGCCCACCCTCAGCACTGTGCCCACCCTCAGCACTGTGTCCACCCTCAGCACTGTACCCAACCTCAGCACCGTGTCCACCCTCAGTACCGTGTCCACCCTCAGTACTGTGTCCACCCTCAGCACTGTGCCCACCCTCAGCACTGTGTCCACCCTCAGCACTGTGTCCACCCTCAGTACTGTGTCCACCCTCAGTACCGTGTCCACCCTCAGCACTGTGCCCACCCTCAGCACTGTGTCCAACCTCAGCACTGTACCCAACCTCAGCACCGTGTCCACCCTCAGTACCGTGTCCACCCTCAGTACTGTGTCCACCCTCAGCACTGTGCCCACCCTCAGCACTGTGTCCACCCTCAGCACTGTACCCAACCTCAGCACCGTGTCCACCCTCAGTACCGTGTCCTCCCTCAGTACTGTGTCCACCCTCAGTACTGTGTCCACCCTCAGCACCGTGTCCACCCTCAGCACTGTGCCCACCCTCAGCACTGTGTCCACCCTCAGCACCGTGCCCACCCTCAGCACCGTGCCCACCCTCAGCACCGTGTCCACCCTCAGCACTGTGCCCACCCTCAGCACCGTGCCCACCCTCAGCACCGTGCCCACCCTCAGCACCGTGTCCACCCTCAGCACCGTGCCCACCCTCAGCACCGTGTCCACCCTCAGCACCGTGTCCACCCTCAGCACTGTGCCCACCCTCAGCACCGTGCCCACCCTCAGCACCGTGTCCACCCTCAGCACCGTGCCCACCCTCAGCACCGTGCCCACCCTCAGCACCGTGCCCACCCTCAGCACTGTGTCCACCCTCAGCACTGTGTCCACCCTCAGCACCGTGTCCACCCTCAGCACTGTGCCCACCCTCAGCACTGTGTCCACCCTCAGCACCGTGCCCACCCTCAGCACTGTGTCCACCCTCAGTACTGTGTCTGCCTCTCAGCCTCTGTATTCCTGTCTTAGCCCCAGGTTTTGTTATCTTCAGAATCACGAGCAATTCACAGTGAATATTTTTGTGTGTAATTTTTTGGTCCTACATGTGAGACTTTCTCTAGGTTTTGCACCTAGAAAACACTCCAATAGTTCCATTTTCAGTATTGTTAGATGATGTCAGGTCATCTAAATAGAATTACAAAGACCTTTTACGCTTTGTTCCAGACTACACACAGACTACATGGGCATAGCTGGATAAAACAAACAAGAATGCTGTCTTTGCCAGGAAGGGCCGAGATTGTCACTGTAAATGAGGAGGCTCCTGAGTAGAAGAGTTAAGGAAGAAACTTGTAAGGGAGCTGGGTGTTGGAGATTGAAGCCTTTTATCCGCGCCTGTTGGGAGGCCGAGGCCTGAGGATTGCTGTCATAGGCCAGTCTGGGCAAAAGCAAGAGACCCTATCAGAAAAGACAGGCCGAGGGATTGGCTCAGGTGTTCGAGTTTTTCCCCTGAATTAAATCCTTACTATCAGGAGAAAAAATAAATAAAAGGATTCAGATTTTAGAGCCGATTGGTTTTGGATAGTCAGGTAGAGATGCTCAGTCTGAGGAGGAAGCGTTTACAGGGGTGCAGTTGCATAGCGAGTATGACAGCTTGTAAGTCTTGTCCTAGTTGGCGCTCATTCACTAAACCTGCGGGCTGCATGGCGTCCATGAAGGGGACTGGGCAGGAGGCCTAGACTGTGGGTGGGGTGCAGGGCATGGCCATGTGCCTGAAAGGACTGGGTGTGACGTCATCTACTTCCGGTGCGCCTGACTGCTCCTCTGTGTACTTCCGGTTCACTTGCTGCCCACCACTCCCCAGTGGTGCAGTCCCCCAGCCCCGGCTTTCAGGGCCCGTGCGAGCCTCACACCCCTTGCTCCCGGGCGGACGGGCACATGGACACCCTGGGCATGCAGCTGCAGCAGGCCACTTGCTACTGGCTCTCAATGGCCAGCCCTGAGACCCAGCCCGGGCTGGCTTCAAATGGTGATCCTCAGACCTCAGCCTCCTGAGTAGGATTACCACCTTGTCAGAACAACTAAAACACGTATTGACCAGGCAGCATCTTGAAATCACGAGGTATGCCCACCCAGCGTCTGGCGGGTGGGTGCTCCATGACAGCGTTTGTGTCCATTCCATGTCCGAAGCAATCTGACTGTTCAGGAACAAGGGGCGGGCGACAGATGGACCACGCGGCTCCTCCATGGCAGGGCGTCCTCAGCACCACAGGAGAACGGACGTCCCGCTCCCTGCTCACGCGCACACACAAGCCCCTGGGCGTGCCTCATGCTTCAGACTTTCCAAATTTCCATAGGAAATGTCTAGGGACGGCAGCAGCACGAGCATGGGCAGGCAGATGGCGCCCTCGGGCAGGAGCAGTGGCTGAGGGCCACAAGGGAACTTTTTTGTGTGGGGGGGGGCAGGACAAAAGTGCCTCAGGCTGGATTAGGGTGACAGCCACATGCCTTGGTGTGACGTCTTGTAAGTTTTAGATTTATAATGTTGTCCTTTGCTGCAAAGTACGGCTCAGGACAGCTGCAGAGGGACGCAGCGGAAGAGAAAACGCAGCACCGAGAGCAGGGTAATGGACTTACATTGAACTGCAGCTAGAATCACATTAAATGTGAATGTTTCAAACAACTCAATTAAATGGCAGAGACTGCCAGATGGGCCGGGTGATGTAGGGGCAAGATCCGGTTCTGTGTTGGGAAGAGCTAGAAAATGACTTTAACCTAAAAGACATAGATGCTTAGAAGTCAAACAGATAAATTCAATCTCCAAGAAACACTGGCCAAAGACAGCTGGTCAGTAAACTCAGGATCTCAGCGTTCCCAGCTCACACTGAGAATGTCGAAAACCTCTACCATGATGATAACTACTTACACCACTCACCTAACCACCCATACCACACAGCTAACCATCCATACCAGGCAGCTAGCCACCTACACCATACACCTAACCATATACACCACCCAGCTAACCACCTACACCACACAGCTAACCACCCACAACACACAACTAACCACATACACCACCCAGCTAACCACCTACACCACACAGCTAGCCACCTACACCACGCACCTAACCATCCATACCACACAGCTAACCACCTACACCACATAGCTAACCATCCATACCAGGCAGCTAACCACCTATACCATGCAGCTAGCCACCTACACCACGCACCTAATCACCCATACCACCCAGCTAACCACCCATACCACACAGCTAACCACCCATACCACACAGCTAACCACGCACACCACACAGCTAACCACCTACACCACACAGCTAACCACTTATACCACACAGCTAACCACCCACTCCACACAGCTAACCACCCACACCACACAGCTAACCACCCACACCACACAGCTAACCACCCACACCACACAGCTAACCATCCATACCAGGCAGCTAACCACCCACACCACGCAGCTAGCCACCTACACCACGCACCTAACCACCCATACCACCCAGCTAACCACCCATACCACACAACTAACCACATACACCACACAGCTAACCACCCACACCACACAGCTAACCATCCACACCACACAGCTAACCATATACACCACACAGCTAACCATATACACCACACAGCTAACCACCCACATCTCACAGCTAACCATCCATACCAGGCAGCTAACCACCCATACCACGCAGCTAACCACCCATACCACACAACTAACCACATACACCACACAGCTAACCACCCACACCACACAGCTAACCACCCACACCACACAGCTAACCACCCACACCACACAGCTAACCACCCACAGCACACAGCTAACCATCCACACCACACAGCTAACCATATACACCACACAGCTAACCACCCACATCTCACAGCTAACCATCCATACCAGGCAGCTAACCACCCATACCACGCAGCTAACCACCCGCACCACGCAGCTAACCACCCGCACCACGCAGCTAACCATCCATACCACGCAGCTAACCACCCGCACCACGCAGCTAACCACCCGCACCACGCAGCTAACCACCCATACCACGCAGCTAACCACCCGCACCACGCAGCTAAGCATGTTCGCCCCGCTGACACCGCCGACATCCAGCAGGTTGAGGCCCCTTGCATCACTCAGCGCGGCGGCTTACCCTCCAGCCACAGCCCACGTTCCAGCAGGTACTAAACAACCCCAGCCTTCAGCGTATATTCTCTGGCCACCAAAGAATTAACTCCTCCAAGCGTTTGCAAATGAAGCAGTACAGCATTAAGTAACTTGTAGATTAAGGAACATATCTCAAGGGAAATTAGCACATAATTTAAATGGAAAGCAAAGGAGAATGGAAATGTGGATATCCATGGGGTGTAATTAAATCCGTGGCTGCTGGGAATTGAATACCTTGGAGTAACACCAGAAATATTTAAATTCCTCGGCCTCATTTAAGTTAGAAAAGGAAGAATTAAGACCATGTGGTGTATATGTAAAAGAACAGCACAACTGGACAGAGACACAGGTAGTTGTGTGTGTGTGTGTGTGTGTGTGTGTGTGTGTGTGTGTGTGTGTGTGTGTAAGTGTAAGTACTGAGCTTCAGACTCAGGGCCTGGCCCTGTTGCTTAGTTCCCTCTCCTGGCTGGCAATCTTCCGCTTGAGTAGTGCCTCCACTTGTGGCTTTCTTTTGCTGGTTAATTAAGATAGCCGAGTCTCAGGGCAGGGTGCAGGCTGGCCCCGTGAGCTTGCTGGTTAGGCCAAGCCTCGTGTGGGGCCCGGGCTGGCGGTGGGCGGGGCCTGTTGTGGTGTCTCGCCCTTCCCCTCCCCCTGCAGGTCGAGCTAACTGCATCCCCCTTTTCTCTCCCAGCATCCGGAGCGTGATGCAGAGGTACCTGCAGGAGAGGAATGAGATGACCTTTGACAAGATTTTCCATCAGAAGATCGGTGAGTCCCGCTCGTGGCCAAGGCTGCAGTGGCCACGGCACGGCCAGGCCGCCTTGGCGCCTGGGTGGTCTTCCTGGCTGGGGACCTGCGGCAGGAGGGGCACTGGCTGGAACTAGTGAGAGGCGTGGCTGACATCGACTCAGCTGGTGGGAGACACAGCAGTTTGACTTCTCGTTTTAAGGCCGTTTGGGGTCTGGCCCGAGTCAACTGGACACCTGAGTTCACCCAGGGGCACAACTCCGGGTAGGCCTGAAGACAGGAGGGGACAGCTCTGGAACCTTCCCAGAGCAGACTCTGCCGGAAGGGGCAGGTGTGGGCAGAGGACCGGGGTGTGTCCCACGGGGCGGGGTTGGGGTCCTGGGCACACGCAGTCTCTCAGCCTGGTACCAAGCATGGCTTGGGGCCTGGTACCTGAGCCCAGCCTCCCGGTGCCTCTGGAGACAGGCCTCACCAGCCTGCCTTCCAGCTAACCTGGAAGGACCCCCACACCCCTGGTTCTCTCCTCTCTCCAGAGGAGAAGCTGAGTGTAAGCGTCACAGGAAGGTCGGGCTGGCCGGCTCCGCCCTGTCCCTTCCCCGCGTTCCCGGCATTAGTGATGCGGGGTGGGGAGGGGTGGACGGGGTAGGAAGCGAGCGAGCGTTGTGTCTGGCTCTGCAGGGCTTCCTTGTGGCCTCTCACCCCCCCCCCCCCGCCCCTGCACCCCACCCCGACCTCCAGTTGATTCTAGCTTCCCTTCCCTGACCATCTCCCCTTCCCTCTCCCCTGCCCCCCCCCCCCCAGCCCACCTTCTCTTCTCTCCTGCTGCCCACTCTGCAGGTGAAGGTTGGGGAGCAGGGAATGTGGTCCCTTCTCAGCTAACAGCCAGTGGAGGCATGGGAGCAGCCCACCGCTTGAGGGGCTCAGATGCCCTCCGCTCCCCAGAGGCTGTAGTTCGGAGCCACCCATTGAGCTCAGGCCTCCAGAGACCCTGAGCAGACAGCCATTGCAGCCCAGCTGGGCTTCTGGCCTGCAGGCTGCCATCAGAACCAAGTGCTGCTTTTAAGTCAGTGACCTCGTGGCGATTACAGAGCAATCAAACCATACTATAGCCACTGGGCATGGTGGCTCACTCCTGTAATCCCAGCGACTCAGGAGGCTGAGATCTGGAGGATCACAGTTCAAAGCCAGCTAGGACAGAACAGTCCTTGAAACTCGGTGTACAATTAACCCATGACGCCAGTGTTACCAGTTGCAGCGTGATTTCACCAGCACATGCGGGTAGCTGTTTGAGAGCAATGGCAGGTTGTGTTTGTTCCCAGGGCCAAGGCCAGGGTTGTCCTGGGCTTTGTTTGGGAAAAGAAGATAAGGCGTGTGTGGGGTTTCTGGGGTGAGTGCAGAAAAGGTGTCACAGACCCTTTCTGAAAAGGGGGAGTCACTTCTGAGCTGCCGCCCACCGCTGGCAACCCCACAGATACGTCACCCACGCAATGACACCAAACCACAAGCCTCAAACCAAGAGCCACACAAACTGGGCGCTGTCCCGGGTTCCTAATAGATGCAGCGATTGTGCTCCATGCTCTCATTGCTGATGGCCAGGAGCTGAGCAGATTCCTCACCCCACAGCTGCCAAAGACGGCAGCCAGAGCACCAACGCCCTTGCCAACATGTCTGTGCACACGCGTGTGTCTGTGCGTAAACATCCCTGTGTGTGCATCTATGTGTGTGAGCACACATGCGTGTCTGTGCTCGTGGCTATGTAAACCTGTCTCTGTACCCACATGTGTGTCTGTATCCCTGTGCATGCATCTCTGTGCACACATGCATGTGTGTTTGTATATATGTAATCATGTCTGTGCACACACGTGTGCCTGTGTACATGTGTCTGTGCATCTGTATATGTGGCATCTGTGTGCGTTTGCTGTCTCTGTGTCTGCATCAATGCACACACATAGATGTGTGTACGCGTGCCTGTGTGTTCACACGCATATCTGTGTCTGTGCATGTGCACACATGTGTTGGGGCACACATGCTTGTGTGTATGTCTGTGCACAGTGTCTACATATGGATACATGATACGTGCACTGGTGTATGTGTCTGTGAACATGTGTACGTGTGTACATGTGGGTATTTGTGTGTGCATGTGTATGTGTGTGAATCCTGCCCTGGGAACTGGCTTGCTGTTTCCCCTCTGTCTCTGCTCTGGAAGTGCCTCACTCCTCACCGGGGACGGCCCAGCCTGACCAACACCCCAGGCCCTCACTTGATCTGTAAAATCCTCCCTGCCTCTGGGCACCAGCCACGGAGGAAGAGAGCCCTCCGGCCCAGCCCGGATCTGTGAGCAGGGGCTTCACCAGACTTCCAGAGAGGGGGTAGTCATGCTCTGGGCGCAGCCCAGCCACCGGTGACTGACTACGTGTGGCAGCAGGCAGCGGCCCGGGGCCGGGGAAGAGGCTCCACCTGAGCACGGCAGGTTTCCTAATCGGCATTGCCCAAGAAGGAAAGACCCTGGGAAAAGGGAGAGACATGGGGAAGGGGAGAGATCATGGGAAGAGGAGAGATGTGAGGAAGGGGAGAGACCCTGGGAAGAGGAGAGACCCTAGGGAAGGAGAAACCCCAGGGAAGGGGGGAGATGTGGGAAGAGGAGAGACCTGGGAAGAGGAAAAGCTCTTAGATAAAACCAGCTAGCAAGGCAGCCTGCCAGCCCACCCCACTGACCACTGACTGAGTTGGTCTGGGCAGTTCAGCATGGAGCCTGGGCTGCGGTCAGCCCAGGAGGGAGGAACCCCTGCCGCCAGCCCCTGCCAGGCTGAGAATTGGGGGTAAACAGGGTAAAGGGGGATAATAGTCAGATAGGAGACTTGCTCTAGCATCTATTTATCCATGCCTTTCTTTTTTGTGGTATTGAGGTTTGAACTTTTGAGCCACACCCCAGCTCTTTTTCAGATAAAGTTTTTGTTTTTTCCTCCCGGGGCTGGTTTTGGACCACCATCCTGCCATGCCTCCTGTCCAGCTGGGATGAGGTACACTCCGCCACTGCTTGAACTGTTGGTTGAGATGGGGTCTTGCTAACTTTTGCTCAGATGGCCTCCAACTGTGATCCTCTAGCAGTCTGCATACTGAGTAACAGATTAAAGGTATGAGCCATAGCACTTGGCTCTTATTTTTTTTTTAAATTATCATTCAAGATCTAAAAGCAACCAAAATGTTCCCTTCCCAAATCATTTGGAAACAGGTACGTTTTACTGATGAGTCTACTGCATCTGCAGGAGTCCCATTGTGACCAGTGGATCCTTGATCTGCAGCCTGGTGAATCTGTTTTCCTTCAATCATTTGCTGTTTAATTTTCTCTGTGCTGTTTTGACCCCATGATTAACAGGAATTACTGTTTGCTCAAGACTCAAAAGGCAATGTGTGTATTAAACATAGCACTGAGTTTCCTGCACTAGGTATATAGAGGGGCCGTGTTGCCCACCTCCCAGGGGCAGAGCCTGGCCTGAAAGCCACGAGCTTCTGCCACTAATGGGAAATGTGTGGGACGCCTGCCTCTGTCCCTCTGTCCCTCTGTCCCTCCTTCCTTCCTTCCTTCCCTACAGACAGGGCCTTGCTGTCCACTGCCCTTCTCAGAGCCGCCCGCCCCCCAAGCCAGTGCTGCCTCCCCGTGGTGGTGTAATGCCCTGGCCTTGAGAACACGGAGACACCTCTCAGCATATGATTTCTAGAAATGCCTGCCCTTTCATTGGCACAGGGCTGGATTCAGTGGCTAGCAGTCAAAGCAAATTTGGGCAAAATAATGCTGGCAAGCAATCTCTTTGCTGTGTTCATCAAATGCCACGCTGTCTATGAAAAGCAGCCCCGATTGTGAGTTGCTCTAGGAGCCACTAGGCCCAGCCGATGAAGGCTGCGGACGAGGCCCAGACTGCCTGCTCCTGCCCCACCCACGTCACCTTCCTCCTGCTGCTCTGCAGAGACCGGACCTTCTGACATCTTCCCAGGTCTTCCTGGGTCTGGAGGAAGTGCTCGGGGCTGGAGCACGTGGGGAGAGGTGTCTGCCCTGAGCATCTGTTGCAGGTGAGGGTGGGGAATGAGTTGGGGCACAAAGGCCAGGTGGGGGCAGGTGTTCTGGGGTTCAGGAGGTGGGGGCCAGAGTCACAGTGCGGGTCACTTCCCCCACTCGGGGTTCACCAGCCACGTTTGCACGGTTTTTAAAGTAATTACTCAAGCCAGGTGCCAGTGGTTCCCATCTATAATCCCAACTACTCAGGAGGTTGAGATTTGAGGTTGCAGTTCAAAGCCAGCCTGGGCAGGAAAGTCCGTGAGATTCTTATCTCCAATTAACCAGCAAAAAGCCAGAAGTGGCGCTGTGGCTCAAGTGGTAGAGCACCAGCCTTGCGCTAAAGAGCTCAGGGACAGCGCCCAGGCCCAGGGTTCAAGCCTCAGAACTGGCAAAAATAAATAACTAAAAGCAACTGTAACTGCTCACTTATATTAAAAACCAATCCCGTGCGGGCGTCTGGGTGCTTGGAAGATGGCAGCAAATAATGTGCGTTGTGTAACTGGTAAGGAGTGAGCAGCAGCGTCCTGTGGGTGGCCCTCAGCCACAGCCCGACATTCGCAGCCTCGCTGGGGTGGCCCTGCGCATCACAGCCTGCCTTGTGATGGAGTCACGGAGCTCTTCCTGACCAGTGTAGAAAGATCTCCATGTGAGCGTGGTGGTCCACACCTCTAATCCTGGAACTTGGGAGGCGGAGGCCCAAGGATTGAGAGCTCCAGGCTGGCTGGGAAACCAAACAAAGCAAAGGAACAACAAAGCCCCAAGCAGTAACAAAACCCAGGAAAAACAAAAAGCAGAAAAGGAAGGTCTGCAGGGCTGGGCTGTGGATGGGCGATTATGCCACAGGTACACTTCTGTTTCCCTTGTGCTGCGTTAGAAGGTGCAGGAGCCCGTGTGCGAGCGGCTCCCCAGGCTGGGAGCCTCGCTGGAGTTTCCTTCCTTACCGGCAGCAGTGCAGGGCTGGTGCTTGCAGCTGGAGGCTCTTCCTGGCAGCACAAGGCGCCCTGGTCCCTCAGAAGTTGGAGCTCTGTGTCCAGTTGGAGAAAGCCAAGGACAGGAGATGGACACTGCCTTTGTACTGACCGGGTGCTGAAGTTTACCATCCACTCCCCCGCTGAGATGCAGGAGACCAGATGCAGAGGTTCCCTTGGGGGTAGTGACTGGGGAGATGGGGAACAAGAAACTTTCTGCCTTATACCTTGTTAAAAGAAGTTAAAAGAGGGAACCCTAAGAAGACAGAGTTGCAGTAAAATCTCTTGTAAATGGTTGCAGTCCAGCTGGGACTGTGGAGGGCAGAGGGGTGCTTTCCTACCCAGGAGGAGTTCACTCAGGGATTCTGGGTAATGGAAGTCCGGAGGTAAAGTGGGTGTCAAGGCACGGCGGTGAGAATTGCAGGCAAAGGAGTCCCCATGGCGGCCAGAGGCCTGATGCACGGTGTGCAGGTGTGTGCAACAGGTGTGGGGCTGCAGATGCTTGAACCCAGCCATGGGGCACAGGCAGGGCATGGCACCCATGCCCTGGGCACAATGTGGGCAGAAAAGAGTGGGCGTGGCTGGAGCCAAGTCCTCCCCATCTTCTCTACAGTACCCACAGAAGTTGAAAGCCTAGGAAAGGGAGAAGAGATTGCTCCTGGGGACCGTGGCCGCCAAGGAGGTTTTTAAATAGTGTGTGCGGTTCTAGCATCTTTCCCCTGTGCAGTGGATTTGGTATCAGTATCTGCCTCGTGTTTGTGTCTCTGATCAGGTTATACTCGCTCCAGAAACTCTTCCTCTTCCCCTTAGAGCACAATAGGCAATGCAGGGTTCTCTTGGTTTCAACCAAAAGAGAAACGCGTCACATATAGAAAGGCGGCTCATGCCTGTAATCCTGGCTGCTCAGGAGGCTGAGAGCTGAGGATCGAGGTTTGAAGCAGGAAAGTCTGGGAGACTGTTATCTCCAGTTCACCAGTGAAAAGCCACAAGTGGAGCAGTGGGAGAGCGTCAACCTCCAGTGAAAAAACTCATGGACGGCTCCCAGGCCCTGAATTCACGCCCCAGTACCAGCATGCGCGTGTGTACACACGCGTGTGCGCACGCACACACACCACACACACACACGTGCCCCCACTGCGAGCTCACAATGTGAGCACCAGGGAAGTTCCTCAGGAAATGTGTGTGGATTCGCCACCTCCTCCCCTTCCCCAGTGGAAATGGCCGCCCGTGGCTGGGGTGGAGTTGGTGGTGTCACGCGTGGCTGGGTGCTTCTCTCTGAAGTAGCCCTGTGAGAGGCTTTGGCTGCTGACTTCTTTGCACGTCCGTGTCTGATGGGGTTTGTGGCATGGCGTCCCTGTGTGTGGCTACTGTGTTCCTTTAGCACGGACACCCCAAACCGCCGCCCCCACCGTGGCCGGCCCACACACGCGTCAGATGGCGTGGGAGGTGTTGTGTATTGGCAGTGACGTCAGCTGTCGCCAGTGGCCCGCAGCCTCCTCCACTCGGTTCTTCCGCAAGTGTGAGGTAGCACTTCCTTCCCTCCCCGCCCCACCTCCCTCGCAAGGTTAGTTCTTCCAGCACCGTGTGTCTAAAAAGAAACATGTTAAACCGACCGTGTGCCGGCCAGTTCCCGGGTGCGTCCGGACTCCGTTCTGTTCCGTCAGTTCAATCCCCTGACAACACAGGCCCCATGAACGCTGTGGAGCCAGGGGGGCTGGGGGCAGCCAGGCCCGCTCCCCAGTGAGGTCCTCCAGGTGAGCACGGCAGCGGCCGGCAGGGCCAGGCCTCACGCCTGGCCTCCCAGCTGCCCAGCCGGGCAGGAAAGCCCCTGAGGCTCTGATCTCCAACAAACCTCCAAACGCCAGGAGTGGAGCTGTGGCTCAAGGGGTGGAGCACCAGCCTTGAGCAGAGGAGCTCAGGGATGTGCCCCAGCTAACTCAGCACCCAGACTCAGTTCCAGTCCCAGTGCCTGTGTACATGTGTGTGCACGTGCACAGACACACAGACACACAGACACACAGACACACAGAGTCACAGGAGCCGCCCACTCCTCTTAGTTGGAAGTCCTCTTCATCAAAGCTGCTGCTTCTTTCGTAGTCTGACCTGGGGCATTCTCGTCCACTCCGGCTCCATCTCCCACGCCGGCGATCAGTCTTCAGTTCCCGCCTGTGGCTTCTGTTTCCTGGAGATGTCGCTCTGAGCCTGTGGAGGTTCTCGGCCCCCCCTCAGCTGGCCCTGTTCAAGGTCCCTCGTTCACCCTCATCAGCGCAGGGGCGTTCCACCGGCCCTGGGGGGAAGGGGTGGAGGGGGAGGGGGGACCCACACCCAGAAGACAAGCCGGAGGGGCCGCGTCCTGACAGAAGTGCTAGCCATGGACACGGTCATGGCTCAGCTCACACCGTGGCCTCCCACGGCACACGGTCCTGTGTGATCAGCAGCCCCGCCTCACGGATTCCCACTCCACGGCAGAGGGGACCCCGATCCACACTGTGTGGCTAGGGTGGGGGACAGAAGAGCGTGGTGGGCATGGCCCGACCGCTCTGGTCAAGGTGTGTGATGGGGTGGGTTAGGCAGACAGGGGTGGGGTGGGGTCGATCAGCCTTGGCATGAGGGCTGCGTGGCAAGGCTCCCTCAGGTCCGCACCCATGGCCACGCCCCACACCCTGGGCCTCAGCCCCCGCCCCCTCCAGACCTCTTTCCTCTGCACTTGTGGGGGCCATGAGGCTCCCCCTCGGGGCTCATTTTCAATGCTGGCGGGAGCTGGTGAACAGAGGAGCCAGCGTGGGGGGGCTGGGCACAGGGCCTTCCTCCCAGCCACCGTTTGTCTCCTGGAATCCTTCTTTTTGATCTTGCTGTTCCTGTTCTTAAAGGCAGGGAGGAAGGAGAGGCCTCTGCTGGTTATTGGAGGGCGGTGGAGTTCACATTCCAAAGATCATACCCACCCTGAAATCTTCTGTTCTTTCCCTTTAGGTTTCTTGCTATTTAAAGATTTTTGTTTGAGTGGAATTAATGAAGCAGCCCTTCAGGTGAAGTTTTATGAAGAGGTAAGCAACCACTGCTTTATTGATGCTTTTCTTTCCAAAGCACATCGGAGCTGGACTTTGGAATAGGCAAAGGCCGCTGAAAGCTTACCTGTATTTAGAAATTCATTAAAACGAATTGTCAGGGCAGAAGTCTCATACATCGTTTGTTAGCCATGGGGAAAGCCAGGCATGTCCGCTCATCATCTTCCCTGAGGCTTTGGCATTGGGCAGAAGCCTTGAGGGAGACTTAGAGCAAAATTCACCCCGAGGGGCCTGGAGTCACGGTCTGTCTGTTGTCTGTGGAGCCAGCTCTGGAAATGGAGCTGTGGCCAGGACTTTTAAAAGGAGCTGGCTGAGGTGTGCTGGTCCTCCTGGAGGAGCAGGTGGGAGAGATGCACTTAAAGCCAAATATCTGGAAGGCACGTGGAGCTGGAGGGGCGGCACACCTGCTAGAGTGCCAGCCTAGCAAGGACAAGGTCCTGGGTTCAAATCCCAGCACTGCCAAAAATGGATAAATAGGAATAGCGTAGATCGGATATCCTAGCGACTCAGGAGGCTGAGATCTGAGGATCATGGTTCAAAGCCAGCCCGAGCAGAGATGTCTTTTATCAGTGAGACTTTTATCAGTGAACCACCAGAAAATGGGAAGTGGTGCTATGGCTCAAGAGCTAGAGCGCTAGGCTTGAGCTGAAGAGCGCAGGGACAGCACCCAGGCCCAGAGTTCAAGTCCCACCACCACCACCAAAAAAAAAAAAAAAAAGACAGCGTATTGAAATTGGGAACTGAGGAAATGAGGCTCTCCCGTGCGGGGGTGAAGGGCGGGTAGCAGTCTGAAACTGTGACTGCCAGGAGAGGCCTCAGGTGAGGGCCCATGCCGGGCCAGATGTGCTTAAGGATCAGGACGTGGAGGAGGTTTGGGTTGACCTTGCGAGCTACTCAGCCACGGGCATGAAATTATGACCTCTAAGGTAACTTCTAAAAGGATAAAGTGTCTGTCTAACAACTTAGGTGAAATGGAATAAGACAAGATTGGAATAGTCAAGCGAATATGATGAGAGAAATTCAGGGAGTTAGGATAAGCCACCTGGGAAAGGGGGCCGGGCCGGATGGCGGCTGTGTATCTTGTGACACTTAACGGAAATGGACTACACACCCCAAGGGGAAGATGGAGGTTTGGGCACAGACCGAGAAAAGCCGCAGGGGGACGTGCCACACAGGCGGGCCAGCGCCGCGCTGCCGAGCCCGCGTAGCCACGCGGACAGCACACTGCACCTGACACACACTCAGGGGTCTGGTGGAGGGAAGGGGTGTCGGACACGTATCTATCGCCGTCCCAAATACCTGCAAATACCACCACTAAGGATGTAAAGCAAACACCGGCACGTAGAAAAGAAGGACCAGACCAATTCCTGGGGGAGCTTGCAGACAGACAGACAGACAGACAGACAGACAGACAACTAGTAAGGAAGCAGTGATGGAGGACACCAGGCCCAGCAAAAACAACTCACTCCTCGAGCTGCACGCTGAATGTGATCCCAACAGATCCCGTGCCTGTCCCCCAGCTCTCCACGCCGGCGTCATCCAGGGAATCTTCTCCAACTGCAGCGGGACTAATGCCACATTTCATAACAGGATTACCAAGGGGTTGATACTCCTCTCAACACTTACAGCCAAAGGAGAAATGGCAATTAGGAAATATTTGTTAACTAAAATATATGTAAGATGTGACAGATGCTATTATTAGTAACACGGTATGTTTTTACCCTAAAGTCGTTTTATGATAGCGTTTCACTCTGTCATCCAGTATGACCTTTAAACGCTCAATCTCCTGAGTGCTGGTATTACAGGCATGCACCACCATGCCCAGCCACCCCAAAGCATGTAAAATAATCTTTTAAAAAAGCATTGCAGGGCTGGAAAGGTGGCTCAGTGGTAGAGCGCTTGCCTTGCATGCCTGAGGCCCTGGGTTCGCTTCCTCAGCACCACATAAGCAGGAAAAAAAAAGCCGGAAGTGGCGCTGTGGCTCAAGTGGTAGAGCGCTAGCCTTGAGCTGAAGAGCTGAGGGACAGCGCCCAGGCCCAGAGTTTAGGCCCCACGACCGGACCCAAAAAAAAAAAAAAAAAAAGCATTGCATAATAAAGACTTGATACTAGAGGGTTTTGTTTTTCAAGCTTGACAGTTGAAGAGAAATTCCTTTTATGACATATCTATCTCTCTATATAATGTCTTGTTACTCCAGACTTTTAAAAGTTACATTAACATTTCTAGGAAGAGGGGTTGAATTACAATGTACATTTCACATCACATAAATAGATGAATTGAAGTTACCATTTCTCTCTGAATCATAACCAGCATTGTATGTGAATATCAACACAATCTCTGTTTTGTTTATTTTTATTTTTTTGATGTACCAGGTCAGCTTGTCAAGCACGGAGCCGTGTCCTGTAGTAGATGAGCGCTGAGGGGTTGGGCGGCCATGCAAATGTACTGTGGCAGTCCCCAGGCGTTGGGGAGGGAGGTGGGCACTCACCTAGCTTGTAACCATTTGGACTTTACCTGCAGGTGTTTCTGTTGTGGTCCCTCCCAGCACTTTGGGTGCCTCTGGCTTGGCATGTGGTGGCTCTAGATAATCCACAAGGCCCTGGAAGGGTGCCCAAACTCCTTGGCACCTTTTCACTCTTCTTATTTGTGTTTTGAACTGGTCCTGGGGCTTGAACTCGGGGGTCTGGGCATTGTCCCTTAGCTTTTTTTTGCTCAAGGCTGGGTGCTCTACCACTTAAACCACAGCTCCATCTTGGTTTTTTCAGTGGTTCATTGGAGATAAGAGTCTTACAGACTTTCCTATCTAGGCTGGCTTTGAACCATGATACTCAGCCTCCTGAGTAGCTAGGATGACAGGCGTGAGCCACCAGCACCCAGGCTCCCGGATAAAGGAAGACAATGCTGTCACAGACTGAGAAAGCCATCCACTCTCAGCACAGCTCTCTGAAGACTCACACAGCCTTCAGATACTGGGGTTCCCAGGGATTCCTCCTTCTCAACCCCTGAGATTGGCTAGTTTGATAGATTCCGCTGTAATTTCTGTTGATCTGCCTCCATACTTGGAAGACCCTGGTTCAGGTGTGCGCTACCCTCCAGCGCGCAGGTGTGCATCACCTGCCGTTTGCGCTGCACCTTCTGTCTGGGCAGCTGGCCAGGCCACCCCTGCTTGGCAGCTGACCGCGTCCTCCCCCGCCCGCAGTGGCTCCACTTCTGCCGGCCTGTCGGAAGCCAGGCTTCTTCTCAGCAGTCTCAGCGGGGCAGTTGGTGGCGCTGTGGCTCTGCGCTGATTGCTCCACAGTCTGCGCTGTGTTCTCCCGGCTCGCCTGGTTCGGGGCTGGTAGTCAGAGAGGGCCTGCCAGGGTGGGGGGCAGTGGGGCCTGCCAGTCAGTCTTGTGTGGTGGGCTGGGGCCGTCATTCAGCCAGGCCTGCAGTGTCTTGGGATCCGACCCCTAGGGAGATGGGGAGGACAAATGTCCTGCGGTTGATGGACAGGGCATGGGACATGGAATGGGGTTGAAGAGACAGGGGTGGGGCTTTCAGCCTGTAAAGCCCGTGGAGACATGAGGCAGGCCAGGGTCAGGTGCGAGGTGCTGGGATTGGTGAGGTTCAGGTGACAGCTCCGTCGCACCCTTGCTGGTTCCGTGTCCCGCGCTCTGCCACGTGGTGCAGGGAGGTATTCACTCCCCTGGCTCAGACTGTAGAAGGCTGTTTTCCCTGGGTGTGTGGAAACACTCTGTTAGACGCACGTGCATTCCTGCTGCCCCTCTATCGCAGGCAATGCGCTTGTCTTTAAAACAGCCCCAAGTAAGGCTGATTCTTTCTTAAACTCTCTTCCTTCTCTCCCTCCCCCCGTCCTTTCCTCCCCTCTTTCCCATCCCTTCCTTTGTCCCTTCTTCCTGGGTTGGTACTGGGGGTTGAACTCAGGGCCTTGCATTCGCCCTCAGCTTTCTTGCTCCGTGGCTGGCGCTCTACCCCTTGAGCCACACCTCCAGCCTGACCTGCTCAGGCACTGAGACAATCTGCCTGCCAGAATCGTGAGCGCCATCTACTGTGTGCGGGCCACCGTGAGGATGGTCTGTTTCTAACTAGGGGGTGGCGGGCTGCGCGCGCTCTTCCATGGTGCCCCAGGGAGTACACAGTGAGTTCTGAGTTACAGACGCAGCTGCTCCGGCCTCTTTCTTCCCCTGAGGAGACATGACTTGGCTGTGGTCCAGGGGATCCGTGCTCCTGGGAAACCGGAGTCGTCTGTGTAGTTCAAGGTGACTTCCACAGGACTTTGTTGGAGCACATGGCAGTTTGCTTCGGTCGTCGGTCACGGCCCGAAAGCCCTGCCCTCAGTCTCCTCTCCCTGCCCCACCTGCCCTTCCCTTCTTTATTCTGGCCTTTGGTACTGTAAGTCAGACACTGGTGGCTCATGCCTGTAAGCCTGACTACGCAGGAAGCCAAGGTCTGGAGGATCATGTTTTGAAACCAGCCTGGCACAGGAGCGTCTACGAGACTCTTTATCTCCAGTTAACTACCAAATTGCTAAGCTTAGAGGTGTGGCTCAAGTGGTAGAACACCAGCCTTGAGCAAGAGTTACAAGGCTCTGAGTCCGAAGTTTTCCTGTAAATAACTAGGAACAACTTTTTGGAGGTGTGACTTTCTTCAGATGAGAGCGTTTCCACACACGGCAGACTCGCGCACGCGTTATTACCTGGCCCCGTCCCAACCCGCCACGTTTCCTTGCCAGCACAGTATCTGCAGAACCTTTTCTGTGGATACTTTCCCGTACTGCTAAGAACCCAAGGCTTCTGCCTAGGGGTTAGTCCTAAAGAAAAAGAAAAGTACTTGTTTAGTCGATTTTTCAAAGTCTCTTTGCAGGAATCCTGACAATATCTATTTTTAAACTTTTCTTGTTGGTTTGGGAACACTGTTGGCAAGTGTCCTTCTTAGAACTGACGCTGCCGGACTGCAGTAATTGTGCTGGGTGGGGAGGATTGGCAGGGACGGCCCGAGGTGGGTGTATTGTGCTGAGAGATAATTGTGACCGTGGAAGTGTTTGTTTCTTGATGTTACGCATTCTTCTGTGGAGGCAGCGTGGCTTGGCCCCTAGGAACAGCTCCTGTGACATCTCTGAGCAGATGTCAGTGCTTCCAACTCCATTGCTGTGACAATCGGGACCTGTCGCCGCCCGTGGCCCAGGCATGGTTGGCTCGATCGGCCATGGGCATGGCTGGTGGGGTCCCTAAATCAAGCAGGTTTCTAGACGCACTAACCGACCCATGACACCTCTTACAAATCTAGATCAAAGAGTACGAAAAGCTCCACAACGAGGCAGAGCGCCTGTGCAGAAGCCGGCAGATCTACGACGCATTCATCATGAAGGAGCTCCTGTCTTCCTCCCATGTGGGTAACTCCCCCCCTTCCCTTCTGGCGTAAGCAGGGCCACTCCCAGAGCTCCTGGGTGAAACAGGACACTAGGCAGGTAGTAAGCATCTCAGAATGCACAGCTAGGACAGGGCCAGGTTCCTCTGCTCTTTGCGTTTGTCTCCCGTAGAGCCCAGGTTGTCCCAGAACTATAGATCCTCTTGCCTCAGTCCTTTAAGTGCTGGGATTGCAGGCACACACTACCAAGCTCAACAGATTCTTCTGTTGTGTCAATCTGCACCCCCCTCCCTCCCCCAGATGATACAGATGATACAGTTTCTCTCCTGTCAAGCTCAATTGCTACATTGCCTGAGGCTGATACTTACATTGCAAAAAAATCCATAATGTAACATAATATCAGTTGAAGAAAAAAGTTTCAATCGAAGACTTTGTGAATTAGATAGTTAGGATTATTAGTTATTAACATTATTGTTGTTTTGTGATGCTAGAGGCCAAACCCAGAGCCATTTCAGTGCTTTTAGGCAAGTGCGCTACCGATCAGACCTCCCAGCATGAGTTACTATTTTAAATTAGCTCTACTTTAACAATTTGGCTGGGCCAGTGTCCTAGCCCAAGTGCTAGTCCAAGGCCCTGAGTTCAAGCCCCAGTACCAAGAAAATTTGTAAATGTTTTCTTTGAATTATTAGGAAGATTATAATTATGTCAGTTTTGTTCGTGATAAGTTAAAGAATGGTTGAAATTGTTCTTATAAATTAGAAAATGTTAGCCATTAAGAAAAAAATGAGGGTTCTAGGAAATCATTTCACAGGATGTAAGCACAATACTTAATAGTGAAACTGTGAAGAGTTTTTTTCTTTCTGTTGTTTTGTGATACTGGTGGTGGTGTAGATTGGCTCCTTGTGGAGAAACAGGCCCCTGCCACAGAGCCACGCCCCAGTACCGAGCCACGCCCACAGCCAGCCACATTCTACAGCTGTCTTGCATGAGCCACGCCCACAAGGCCCCGCCCCTCACCCAGGCCACACCCCCAAGTCAGCCTGCTTCCAGAGCCCATGACTTCTGCTGACAGTGTCACCTCCCCTGTCCAGTGCACCAGCCATGGTGGGATTTGTTTAAGTTAATTAAGATGAGGTGGATCCGAAGCTTCCCCTCCGTTCTCCTGCTCACATGCCTGCAGCTCTCTGGGAGTGGCCCCAGGGGCAGCGGCACTGGTGCCCATTTGGGCCCCTGGATGGCCCTGGTTGGGGACATGCTGTCCCATCAGGCCTGGGACCTGGGTGCCTCTGAGTTCCTGGGCCAGCCCGTGTCGCTTCCTTCTTCTCCTCTCTCAGGGAAAGACACTCGGAGCCGGCACCCACCTGCTGCCCTCTGCTTCACTCTTCTCTCCCCCGGGACGGCCTGGGCCCACAGACAGTGCCCACAGGAGCCTCTGCCAGTGTGGCCTTCCATTTCTGTGCAGCGTGCCAGCTCTAGTGGCACAATGTGGGGTTTTAAGCCATTTCTCTTCATGCACATTATTAAGAAAGACACGATTTGCTGGGTGTAGTGTCTAACGCCTGTAATCCTAGCTACTCAGGAGGCTAAGGTCCTAAGGGCTGAAGTTTTCAGCCAACCTGGGCAGAGAAGTCTGTGAGACTTTATCTCCAAAACAACCATCACAAACCAAGCTGGAGGCATTGTTCAAATGGTAGAGCACCAGCCAAGCAAGCAGGTGCAAGATCCTGAATTCAAGCCCTAGTTCCAACAAAAAAGAAAGCAGGCAAGCAAGAAAGAGGTGGTGTGTGTATGTGTGTAGGGGTGGGGAAGACATGTCTTACAGTTCTGGGGATAGAATTGAAGTGACAGGAAGCCCCATTCTGTTTGCCCTGCCACCCTGTTCACGGGCTGTGTGAGACTCCTCAACCAAGCCCCTTTGGCCCAGTCCCAAGGCCCAGATTCCTAGATTAATTTTCTCTAAGAGGAAGCTTACATTTTTTGGAATCTGTTACCTGGTTGGAACAGAGCACAGAGATGGTAGCGCTCCAGCCTTGAGCAAAAAGCTGAAAGGCAGCGCCCAGGCCCAGTGTCCATGATACGTTGCCGTATTTTGTCATAAGCTGTGCTTATGTCTTCATTTTTTTTCCCTCAGCAATTCTCAAAGGAAGCAGTAGAACATGTCCAAACCCATCTGTCCAGGAGAGAAGCATCGGAAACCCTTTTCCAGGTAAGAAGGAAGTCCTTTGAAGTAAATGGACCTGACTTGCTCAGGAGCTGGTCCTGGTGACACTTAGTGTGTCAGCTTGCAGACGTTCCTGGGAAAGGCCCCTGGAGGTTTCTGGAGGCACTGTGTAGTAGAAAGCCCCCAAGATAAGATAGCAGAAAATAAAGCTTTCTCCATGGGCTCTTGTTTTGTTTTTAGGACCTGCGTGCTATCCCTTAGTTTTTATGATCAAGGCTGGTGTCTTAACCACTTGCGCCACAGCTCCACTTGGAGCTTTAGGCTGGCTAATTGGATATGAGAATCCCACAGGACTTTCCTGCTTGGCTGGCATTGATCTTTTGTCTTTTTCTTGGTGGTACTGATGTTAGGACATAGGAGCTCACATAGGCTAGGTAGGTGGGTGCACCGCCATGCTAGCCATGCCCCAGCCCTGTTTGGATTGAGTTGTTCTTCACATAAGGTCTTGTCGATATTGCTTGGGTTAGCCTGGAATGGAGATCCTTCTGCCTGCCCCACACTCTTCCTCCTGGCTCCCTTGAGCCCAACGGTTCTGAGAGGCACAAACGCAGCCAGATGGTGGCTGATGAAAACCTAGCAGCGCCACAGAGGCCTTAAGACCCGTGCCAATCACAGACAGTCTGGATGGGTTCCAAGGTAGGCGGCTCCGCTCACGGTGCCCAGGGCCAAAATGGAGACGTGGGGCCCCTTTCTCAACAGTGAGCAAGACATCCAAGGTGCCAGGTGCTGGGGGCTCTCACCTGTCATCTTAGCTACTCAGGAGGCTGAGATCTGAGGATCGCAGTTCAAAGCCAGCCCAGGCAGGAAAGTCTGTGAGACTCTTAATCTCCAATTAACCACTAAAAGCCAGATAGAGCTGTGGCTCACGAGACAGAACACCAGCCTTGAGCAAAAAAGCCAAGGCCCAGAATTTGAGCCCCAGGATGGGTACACACACACACACACACACACACACACACACACACACACACACACCAGGTAACCCTGGTCATTCAGCCGAGGGCTGTGGCAGGCAGCAGGGTTCAGGCTAGCCTGTCTTGGTGGAGGAGGAGGGGCGGGAGCGTGGGGTGCTGGGCTCACCCCGGCCCCCCAGGCCCCGTTTGTGTGTTAACTGTAGCACGCCCTGTTTGTGTGTTTGCTGTGGCACACTCCTGTTTGCACAGCGTCGAGTTTCTTTTCCATCCCTCCCAGCCATACATAGAAGAAATCCACGAGAGTCTTCGAGGCAACATTTTTCAAAAGTTCATGGAGAGGTAAGTGTGTATGTGTAACTTTGTGGCGTGTGTAGTTGTGTGTCATTTTACCTGTTATGAGCTGTCCTTCAAGTGTGCAGACTTATTCATTCAACAGATAGCCACAGCCCTGGCCTAGGCTATGGTTTAGGCTCTAACCTCCATGTTACATAATTTCGATTTTGTATGGCTTGACCTTGATCTCCAGTTCTCTCACCTGAAATAGTCTGAGATTTTTTTTCCCCTTGTGCTAGAACCAGAGCTTGGACTTTTCACTCGAAGCTGGCACTCTACCACTTGAGCCCCCTGCCCCCCGCCTTCTACAATTTAAATGCCAATGCATTTTCAAATGAGGGAAGAAACTCAGACCTGCTTATGTGCTTGGGTTCTCAGAGGTTCAGGCCCTAGAACACAGCGCGCTCATGTCCGCGGGGTGTCCGCTGGGCTGCTTTTCCCTGCAGCCCTGGGCGTCCCCTCCCCAGTGCGGCTGTGCCCTGGTTGCTGTCCAGGCGGGCGGAGGCCGGGCCGGTGCTCTCCTCCTGGAGGGCTGTGGGCAGTCACGTGACACGCAGGTGCTCAGCACAGAGGTGAGCGAGGAGCGGAGTAAAGAGCAGGAGTCTGTGCCCTGTTTTTTTCTTTCTTTCTTTCTTTCTTTTTACTATGTTGGGCCATTTCTGCACCTTCCCCTGGCCTTGCTGGGTCCTGGGGGGCCTCTGCCAGGGCTCTCGATGTGAACGGCCTGCAGTGATCTTCACCCCCGCCCACCATGCTGATTCAGAGCAGCACACCCTCAGAAGACCTGGCCACAGACGCTGGGCCTGGACACCCAGCGAGGAATGTGCTGTGCAGACGTGCCTGCGCGTGCTGGCAGAGTGCGAGGCCCTCTCTCTTCCTGCCCCCCCCTCCACGCTTGTCAGCGTCAGACCCCACCCCTCGCCACCAGCTCAGAACCCAGAATCAAGGCGAAAGCCGCAAAGAGCGAGCCTCAGGGCCCCAGGGCCCCCAGAGCCACGCCCAGCGCCCAAGCTGTGGCACACTGGCAGCGCACCCGCGCCTTTTTGTGTACATCATGAAGCCCGTTCCGAGTAGCTTCAAAGATGATACCAATTCCATAGATGTTAGGAGGATTAGGGAGAAACTCCTTCAAAAAAAGGTAAGAACCAGGCGCCGGTGGCTCACGCCTGTCATCCTAGCTACTCAGGAGGCTGAGATCTGAGGATGGCAGTTCAGAGCCAGCCAAGGCAGAAAAGCCCATGAGGCTCATCTCCAATGAATCAGCAGAAAACCGGAAGTGGCGCTGTGGCTCAAGGTGGTAGAGCACTCGCCTTGAGCAAAAGAGCTCAGGGACAGCACCCAGTTCAAACCCCATGACTGACAAAGATAAATAATAAATAAAATGTACCGTGAGAGACACAGTGTCCTGATGTCTTCACCTACACACAAGGCGGCAGATAGACTTTCCCACTAACGGACGCCTAGTGGCTCACAGGGCAGCGCGGATTACACGGGATGCATTACTGAGATGATGTAGTGTCCTGTGCTGTCTCACCGTGGACATGGCTGACTCTGATTTAAATAAAAGTCAGCATAGCAGGTGACAATGGAAGGAGAGACTCGAGACCTTTCATTGGAACCTTCAAATAAAGCCAGGAATGCAGGGGAAACCTTTGTAACAGTGTGGACAAAATCTTCCCATATTGGAGAGCAAACATGAGTCACACTGGGGTCGTTGGTCTGTAAGAATGTTCTAGAAGTCTACGGAACTCAGCATATAACTCTTCAGTAATTTCATACTTCTGTTCTCTTTTAGTGACAAATTCACTAGATTTTGTCAGTGGAAAAACATAGAATTAAATATTCATGTGAGTATACTTTTTTCTCTTCTTTCCCTCCCTCCTTTCTTCCTTCCTTCCTTCCTCTCTTCCCCCCTCTCTTTCTTTTAGATAAAATCTCCCCCTGGCTTAACGTCATGAGAAAATACTTGCTTCTGGAACATTGTCTCCAAGGGTACATGCCTAAACAGCCATCCTTTCTGTGCATGAAAAGCTCACCCATCCATACTTACTGATGAGCCATTGCAGTTTTAATTCTTTTCTCATGTTTGCCTAAGAATGTGCTTATTTATATAAGGAAGGATATTTTGAGCTATAAATTATTGATCCTCTCACAAAAATTAGTATAACTTCCATATGTCCTGGTCCTGTTATTGTAGTATTCAAAGTTGAGAATATTAATAAAAATAAGGGCACGGTTTGGTAAAACAAGGTGTCCTCTTTCTGATTATCTTGAGCATGATGAAAATAATATACAGGCCAGGTGCTGGTGGCTCAAGCCTGTCATCCTAGCTACTCAGGAGGCTGAGGCCTGAGGAGCATGATACAAAGCCAACCGGCCAGGAGAGTCCATGAAACTCATCTCCAATGAATCACCAGAAAACTGGAGGTGGAGCTGTAGTTCAGTGGTAGAAGGCTAGCCTTGAGTGAAAGAGCTCAGGGATAGCACCCAGGCCCTGAGTTCAAGACCCATGACCGACTAAATAAATAAATAGTAATCTACAACCCCCCATTGATGCACTGGCTTTGAACAGCCACTGAGGGCGGGGCTTAGCGTCCTCATCTGACTTCCTGTGGCTCTGACCTGCAGCTGACGATGAACGACTTCAGTGTCCACAGGATCATTGGGCGAGGCGGATTTGGGGAAGTGTATGGCTGCCGGAAAGCAGACACCGGAAAGATGTAAGCTTCCTGCCCACATCTGCTTCCCAGAGCTAGTTAGGCCAGCTCACATTCCCATCCGGGGACAATCCCACCCTGCGGGCTCACCCCTGAAATGACTTCCCGCACCTGTAATCCCAGGTACTTAGGAGGCTGAGAGCTGAGGATGAGGTTCGAAGTCAGCCTGGGCAGGAAAAGTCCACGGGACTCTTGTTACCAATTAAAAATAGAAAAAGAGCTGGAAATGGAGCTGTGGCTCAAGTGTAGTGTGCTAGCCTTGCATACATAAGTGTCCAGCAGGTCCAGCCGTTGACTCTGTGTTCATGGTGGACAGAAGTCGGGCTTCAGTGTTTTGTTGCCCCTGGGCCCTGGGCCACCCGGGCTTGGCCCTCATGTTTGTGGTTGCAGGTATGCAATGAAATGCTTGGATAAGAAGAGACTCAAGATGAAGCAGGGAGAGACGCTGGCCTTGAACGAAAGGATCATGCTGTCGCTGGTCAGCACTGGGGTAAGTGCCCGTTTCCCTCACGCCTTCCTGTGGAAATGAGGTGGCAGCCCCCCCCTCCCCCTCCCCCACCATCCTTCTGTATAAGTGCCAAAAGGTCAGGACCTTACCATCCAAGAAGCAAAGAATTGCCTGGCTATGGTAGAGAATGAATCCAGGACAGAGATACGCTAACCTTAGGAAGGAAGGGGCTCCAGAACCTTCTCTAGAAAAATCCAAGGGAGTGACTCAGACTGGCCCTTTCTGAGCTGTCCTTCCCTGGCTTGGACCCCATCAGCATCCCGTCCGGGTGATTGACTGCACGCTCCCGCACTTCTGGCCAGCACTCCCCCCATCCCCCCTTGACACGATCCTTAGGATTTCATCACAGTCGAGCTTTTTTGGTGTTTTTTGGGGTGTGTGTGTGTGTGTGTGTGTGTGTGTCCTGGGGCTTGAACCCAGGGCCTGGGTGCTGTCGCTGAGCTTTTTTGCTTAAGGCTGGTGCTCTACCACTTAAGCCACAGCTTCACTTCCGGCTTTTTGCTAGCTAATTGGAGAGAAGAGTCTCCCTCGGACTTTCTTGCCTGGGCTGGCTTTGAACTGTGATCCTCAGGTCTCAGGCTCCTAAATAGGTAGGATGACAGATGGAAGCTGCCATCGTGAGGCTGGAGGAATCCTACTTTGGATACAGACTGGGGTGAGGAGGCACTGTGGGAGGTTTTCTTGCCCTGGTCTCGGGGTGCCCTGGCCTGGGCGCCTTCCTTACCATCGCCCTGGAGGTAAACTGGCCAAATGTTTTGCCATTTACCCGATCTGTGAGCAAGGAAAATTGGGCTCCTGTCAATAATTAATGATGCACCTCTGCCTTCTGCATTTGACATTAAGAAACCTCCCATATAAAGGCCCTTTGTGTGTGGCCCGGCGGCTCACCGCGTGGGGTCGCTGTGGGCCCAGGGCCGGGGGGGGGGGGGTGGGGGTGGGGGGGAGGGGGGGGTGGGGAGGGAAAGTAAGTTTCAAACATGCTCATGCTGGAAGATTATAAGAAGTGATTTAAGCCTTCGTTTTTTTATGAGTTCCTATCATCTGAAGAAAGCCTGTGGGAGAAAAGTTTTGATGTTGGAGAAGTAGAAGGACATTTGCAGATGGGCTTTTAATGTTTGCTTTATCTGGGCAGCGAGGGAGCCCCCTAAGAACCCTCAGATCCACCACTGGTCAGATCTTGGGGGTGCCAGAGGCCGCCGCTCTGAAGCAGCCTGAAGGAAGTGCGTTTTCATTGGAATATCAGCACCCCTCCCCGGGTGCTGTGTGTAGCATGTGCGCCTGTGCATGAGCATGAGTTCTGGCAGAGCTGTCTCTGACAGAGCAAAGGCTCACTGCTTCCGATCCACCACTTGAGCCACGACTCCAGCCTTGCAGTGTTTTGGGTGGTTAATTATAGAGTCTCACAACATTTCCTGCCCAGGCTGGCTTTGAACTGTGATCCTCCAGATCTCAGCCTGCTGAGTAGCTGGGATTTCAGGCGTGCCTGGATTCCCACTTCCTCCTTTTCCTCACTTTTCCGACACGGTGTCCACCTCTGGCTCTGACATTTCCTGGATAGCAGGCTTGCCGCGTGCCATTCGCTGTGTTCAGAAATCCCCCCTGCCCCGCCTAGGCGCTTGCCCCCCCAGGGGTGGGGCTTGTCCTGGCCACGCCCTTCTCTGCTCTTCCCTCTAGATGCAAGCGTGTGGGTCCCCCTGGGGTGGATGAGGCAGCCCCCCTCAGAAGCCTGCAGGTCCCCCAAAAGGACTTTTCTTTTTCTTCTCCATTTCCTTTTTTTAGGTGCAAGACTGGGACTTGAACTCAGTATCTGATGTTTTCGCTCGTTGGCAGGTGCCCTGCCTCCTGAGGCTTTTAGGAGAAGGTGGATGAGGCAGCGCTGTCTCTGTTTAAGACACCTTAGAACCAGGAAACGCTGTCTCTTCAGAACTGTTAGGAAAGTGGTGGGCACTAAATGCCTCCACTCAATTCATTCTGGCGTTTCCTCGCAAACCTCTGGTATACAGAAATGTGTCGGGTCTAAATCCCCAGGCCACACTTAAGCCACACTTCCAGTTCCTTTTTGCCTTGGTTATTAGTGTTATTTTGCCAGCCCTGGGGCTTGAACCTCAGGGCCAGGCCGCTGAGCCTCTGTGCTCAAGGCTAGCGCTCTGCCAGCTGAGCCACAGCGCCACTTCCAGCCTTTTCTAAGTAACCTATTGGAGGTGAGAGTCTCACACACTCTCCTGCCTGGGCTGGTTATTTTTGTCTCAGGTCTTCATGGTCCTCCCTTGCCTGCTTCCCCATATCACTGGGGATACGGGCGTGTGCCACCATGCCCAGCCATTGGGCAAGATGGGGTCTCTCGGTTCACATGCTGCCAGTCCTCCTCTTGCTGTTTCTCTGCCTCTCCGTAGCCAGGGTTGCAGGCGTGAACCATGCCACCTGCCCCACAAACACGGCTCGTTTCATTACAGTCCAGGTTATCAGCACTTCTATAATCCGTGTGCTGTGTGGCCTGGCTCAGGAGTCTGCCTGCTCTGTGATCTTGGAGCTGTTTCCCCGAGTTTTCACTGTTCCCCCCTTCACGCTGGGGAGACCCCGGGGTGGTGATTTTGGTGTGCGGTGTGAGGTGGGGTCAGGTTCGCAGTTTACAGCACAGCTCGGGTGCCGGTCACTCTGAGGGGCTAGCTCAGGCTCTGCCTTCTGTGGCAGTGGTCTGTCCATCTGGCCACGCTGTCTGGGTTATCGTCGCTGTGTGATGAATGGCAGGCTTGCCTCCGTGCGGCCTGGCTGCTTCTCCAGCTCATCTGGCTTTTGCCTGTCTGTTTCATTTCCATGGAGCTGCGTGGGACCCACGGACTCATTAGTGGGAATTGGAGCCCTGTTTCCCATTGATTCCCCCCCCCCCACGCCCCAACTGTGCTCTATTTTTCCTTTCTGCTTTCAAAAGCTTAATTTAACTCAATTTTCTCCTTCGTGCGTGCAGACAATAACATGACGTCTTTCCCTCCAGTGGAGGGCTGCTTCCGCCCTCAGAGGCAGGGACGGATGGGGACGTAGAGGGCCCCGGAGCCTGGCCCCGCAGAAGGGCATTGGGGCGGTGCCAGTTTCCTGTAGAACCCGCTCTTCCAGGGATGGGGTTGTGGTACCTGCTGGTGACCAGGTCCTTCCTGTCATTGCTCCGGTCACTCCGTCTGAGCCACAGCCACACCAGTCCACTGTGCCTTCTGCCATCTCCCCACGGGGGCCCAGAGTCCATAGCCTGGGATCTGATGATGGATGTACTTTCTAGAACCTTCTTTAGTCACAAACTCGTGTTCCTCCCCCCCCCCCCCCAGGACTGTCCATTCATCGTTTGTATGACCTATGCCTTCCACACTCCGGACAAACTCTGCTTCATCCTGGACCTGATGAACGGTAGGTCCCCGGCCACCGCCCGGCGCCCTGTTTGAGCTCCTGCCTGCCCAGCCTGGGCACTGGGGTCTTCCCACAGTCAGATCCCCTGAACGCAGAGGAAGCCTTTGGCCTTCCTTCCCGGCACATCCCCGGCTCTGGCGCCCTCAGTGCCCGCCCGTCTCTCCTTAGGAAGCTGGAAGCTGCTAGAAAAGAATTGTCCTGAAATCAATGCTGCCAGAGGGTTTGGATTTTCTGGGCTGCAACTGCTCTGGGGTTTTAGTCAGCTGATGTCGCCATCCGCCATCTTGGGTGGCCAAGAACAGCCTGGTGTTTAGAAGCTGACTCTGAAGAGGAGACTTTGAGCCCAGGATGGGTCTCAGCCCAGCCCTCTGCAGCGGACGCTGCTTGTCCCCGAAAACACACACTCAGCCACAAACGTTGCTAATAAGAGGAAGGGAGACGGGGTGGATTCAAGGGATTTTTAGTAAGAAGGCTGACATTTAAAGGGCCTAGAGTTCAGCCCTTCAGATGTCTAGTTTTTTTCTTTTGAAGTTCATTTAGTTTTATGAACTTTTGAGTGTTTGGAATAAAATCAGAAACACAAAGGAATAAAATAGAAACACAGAGGAATTTCATAGACATGGCACTCCTGTACACATGGTGGTCAGAAAAGGCAGCGCTGATGGAGGGCGAAGGGGCAGCCCTTTTGGCATGGTGAGGTCCTTCCTGTGTTGTTCTGCTGGCCTTGGTGCCACGAGACATGCCAGGAGGAAAGGCTCTGAAATCAGACACACACACTTCCGTAACTCACTGCAAATGTCCCCTGTGGTTTCTGAGAGCATTTCTTTACCCTGAGGGCAACATCTTCTGTCCCTGTAACTCGAGGGCACATGACCGCTTCCTATTTCCAACACTGCATGTGGAAGAGTTCAGATGTGGGTGTCGAGAGACTTCTGCCGGGGACCCTCGGGTCCTCGCCCCCTGGGTTTCATGGGTCAGTACTTGCGTCAGCCGTCCGCAGAGGTAGCTGGAGGGGGCGGGCGCCTCGTGATCTCCCCCCTGCGCCCTGCCCTGCGTGACTGACCGCCACCTTCATGTCCCTTGATTCCGGAGCCCTGGCTTAACGGGGTCTTGCCGGTTGCAGGGGGTGACCTGCACTACCACCTGTCCCAGCACGGGGTGTTCTCCGAGAAGGAGATGCGCTTTTACGCCATGGAGATCATCCTGGGGCTGGAGCACATGCACAGCTGCTTCGTCGTCTACAGAGACCTGAAGGTGAGGACGGGGCTGTGCCCACCCCCCTCCCCCGCCCCCCCTCCCCCGCATCCCTCTCCTCCTTTCCTTGTAGTCCGGACACGCATCCTCCATCCATGTGCGCTCTCTCCCAGGCCTGGCTGGGCAGGGGCTGAGCCCGCAGCCACCTCTGTTGCCATGGAAACCATGTGCCCGCCCTGCCTGACAGAACCTATCCTAAGTCTACACCTCGACATAAGTCGTGAATGAAGAGCAAGTCAGGCAGTTTGGGGCTGCTGTCCGTGTTGCACCTCAGTGCAGTGTAGCGGATATTTATTCACTGGGCAATCCGTTTGGCCACAGAGCTGGAAATGGCACACACGGCAGGGAACACGTCTCTTAGGGGGCTGGGAGCTGGTGTGGGAGGCCACGGGACGTCCAGCTGAGCCTGCCCATGGCCCCAGGCTGCGCCCGCACAGCCTCCACGACCTTTAGATCCTGCCCAGCCCCTTATTCCCAGGACTTCAGAAATGAAGAGACGGAGCGGCTGTGAGCATCGGTCCAGGCCCTGAGCTCCGCCCCCTGTCCTCCACGGGGAGGTGGCCAAGTCCATCCGTGTCTGTGCAAATGCACGTGTGTGGAAGAATCATTAGCTGCACAAGGGTGGCTCACACCTGTCCTCTTAGTTACTCGGGAGGCTCATCCTGGGCAGAAAAGTCTTTGAGATGCCCATCTCCAGTTGACCAGCCAAATGCTGCACTGGAGGCATGGCTGAAGTGGTAAAGCACCTGCCAAGCACACAAGCTGAGTGAGTCTGAGGTCCTGAGTTGAAGCCTCAGTCCTGAGGACACTTGATTGAGTTGAGATTCTCTGGAGGAGGGGAGGAGGCCGCGTTTACTGCTGGTCTCAGCCTCATCCTTGATTGCAGCCAACCCCAGCTGCAGATCACATTCACCCTGAGGAGCTCAAAATCCAAAATGCTGGGGACACTGTGTTTGGAGCAATTTTTTTCTTTCAAAAATGGCTGTAAATCTTCGAGCCTTCCACAGGATTAAGGAATTATGCCTCAGGTTTTCATGCCAGCCCCCGGAAAACAAAACATTTCATTTTTAAGAAAATGAAATTAGAAATAATTAAGCACTGGTTGACATTTGATTTCCTTATGTGGGTCTCACAGGAGAAGCAAACCCACGCAGAAGACCCATGGACTGCCATTGGGGTGCATTTTAATTCAAATCCATCACCGCTTTCTAATCATCTTTATGCTGCTGTATTTTTGTTTTCGGAGCTACTTAGTAACAATGAGATTACCTCATTTCTATTCAAACTTAATTCCAGCCACTCATGACGGCTCATCGCTCTGAGTTTTAATAGCACACCATTAATTTTATTTCAGGGGAAAAACAATAGTTGTTCTTTAGCATAAAAAAATATTCAGGTGGTGGTAATTCAGTGTATACTGGGGAAGAGCGTGGTCGCCCTTCGGTGTTCTGACCAGATCTAAGCTGAGTAGGTACACTTCATCAGAGGCATGGCCGGCACCCTTCCTGGCCCCTCGTTAGGGTTCCGGGGGAACGGGGATGACGTTTTCCGGGCTGGGTGGGCTCTGTGGATGCGGCTCGCCTCCTCTCTGAGGTCAGCGCCTGTACATCCTCACAGGATCCTTCAGTGCCTTCATTCCCTGAAGTCCTGGGTGGGTGTGTGGGGGGGTAGTCACGGGAGCCACAAAGTGGGTGGCCCTGTTCCCTGTTGCTGAGAGACCCCGTCCTGGGCATGCTGGGGTTCTTGGTACAGTAACAAGAAACTTACTTTGAGGCCAGGTACCGCTGGCTCATGCCTGCATCCTAGCTACTCAAGAGGCTGAGATTTGAGGATCACCGTTCAGAGCCAGCCTGGGCAGGAAAGTCTATGAGACTCTGATCTCCAACGAACCACCAGAAAGCTGGAAGTGGAGCTGTCGCTCGGAGTGGCCGAGCGCTAGTCTTGAGAGAAAAAGCTAAGGCATAGCACCCAGGCCCTGGGTTCAAGTCCTAGTACTGGCACAGAGAGGGAGAGAGACAGAGATGCTGAAGGCTGGGCCCGGCACTCCTAGCTGGCCACGTGTGAGGAGTAGATTGCTTCGCCTGCTCCGTGCCCTGCCTGCTGCCCTGCCCTGCCCTGCCTGCTGCCCTGCCCTGCCTTGCCCTGCCCTGCCCTGCCCTGCCCTGCCCTGCCCCTGCCCTGCCCTGCCCTGCCTGCTGCCCTGCCCTGCCCTGCCTGCTGCCCTGCCCTGCCCTGCCCCTGCCCTGCCCTGCCCTGCCCGCTGCCCTGCCCTGCCTGCCCTGCCCTGCCCTGCCTGCTGCCCTGCCTGCCCTGCCCTGCCCTGCCTGCCCTGCCCTGCCCTGCCTGCTGCCCTGCCCTGCCCTGCCCTGCCCTGCCCTGCCTGCTGCCCTGCCCTGCCCTGCCCTGCCCTGCCCTGCCTGCCCTGCCCTGCCCTGCCCGCTGCCCTGCCCACTGCCCTGCCCTGCCCTGCCCTGCCCTGCCCTGCCCGCTGCCCTGCCTGCTGCCCTGCCCTGCCCTGCCCGCTGCCCTGCCCTGCCCTGCCCTGCCCTGCCCTGCCCTGCCTGCCCTGCCCTGCCCTGCCCTGCCTGCTGCCCTGCCCTGCCCTGCCCTGCCCGGCCTGCTGCCCTGCCCTGCCCTGCCCGCTGCCCTGCCCCTGCCCTACCCTGCCCCTGCCCTGCCCTGCCCTGCCCTGCCCTGCCCTGCCCTGCCCTGCCTGCTGCCCTGCCCTGCCCTGCCCGGCCTGCTGCCCTGCCCTGCCCTGCTTGCTGCCCTGCCCTGCCCTGCCCTGCCCTGCCCCTGCCCTGCCCTGCCCTGCCCTGCCCTGCCTGCTGCCCTGCCTGCTGCCCTGCCCTGCCCTGCCCTGCCCGCTGCCCTGCCCGCTGCCCTGCCTGCTGCCCTGCCCTGCCCTGCCTGCTGCCCTGCCCTGCCCTGCCCTGCCTGCTGCCCTGCCCTGCCCTGCCTGCTGCCCTGCCTGCTGCCCTGCCCGCTGCCCTGCCTGCTGCCCTGCCCTGCCCTGCCTGCTGCCCTGCCCGCTGCCCTGCCTGCTGCCCTGCCCTGCCCGCTGCCCTGCCCTGCCCTGCCCGCTGCCCTGCCCTGCTGGACCCTGTGGAATTGTGACTCAGGTCAGGAACCAGCCACGGGGAGGCCCCCAGTGCACCCCGTTGGGAGCCGTCCGAGCCCAGCCTGGGGGGACTCAGCCTCGCGTGGCATTTCCTTCCAGCCTGCCAACATCCTCCTGGACGAGCACGGGCACGTGAGGATCTCCGACCTCGGCCTGGCCTGTGACTTCTCCAAGAAGAAGCCGCACGCAAGCGTGTAAGTGATGCATCCATGTTCACACAAGCGTGACACACCCGTGTTCACGCAAGCGTGTAAGTGACACACCCGTGTTCACGCAAGTGTGTAAGTGACGCACCCCGAGTTCACGCAAGCGTGTAAGTGACGTACCCCGTGTTCACGCAAGCGTGTAAGTGACACACCCCGTGTTCATGCGCCTCTGCCGCCGCTCACTGGCCAGCCCGGCCCCCGTGCTGTCCCCAGCCCTGGTTCCAAGCCCATGGTGATGTCAGCCGAGGGTCCGGCATCCCCTGGTGGAGACGGAGCCCAACCCCCACCCCCAGGTACCTGAACCCGCTCTGGGGCCACACTTGTGTTGGAAAGAGACCCAGGCGACCACTTTGGCCCTCAGTCTCCTCTTCTCCATCTGTGTGCCAGGGGAGGCAGGCAGGCAGCTGCGCAGCGCGGCCACTTTCCTTCTCCAGCCTTTTCCCCAAGCTCCTCCCTACCCAGGAATTACTGTTATTAAAGAAGCTGATCATCTTCACGTTCTCCAGGCTCTTATAGGGTTCGTGTTGGGGTGCTGTGCAGCCCTCCCAGCGAGCCCAGGGAGGTGGCGCCGTGGCCCCCAGCTAGAAGCACCTGCTGGATGAGCAGGCCCGTTCCCGGCCGGCCCCAGGCCCCCCACTCTGGTGGTGAGCGTCACAGCCTGTAGTGGGCTCTGCGGCTCTCTGGGCCGTGCCGTGGGTACCCGTGTCCGTGGAGAGAAGCCCGCGTGTGCCTGTGCCACACTCCACGTGACTTTCACCGTGTCTTTGTCACCCTGTCGTTCTGAGCACGGAATCTTTAGGAAAAAATGCAGGTTTCTTCCTGGATGTTGGTGGCTCATGCCACGATCCTAGCTACTTGGGAAGCTAAAATCTGAGGATCACAGTTCAAAGCCAGCTGGTGCATGAAAGTCTGAAACTCTTATCTCCCATGAACCACCAAGAAACCAGACATGGAGCTGTGGCTCATGGTTGAGTGCCCAGCCTTGAGCAAAAAAGTCTAAGGCACAGCGCCCAGGCCCTGAGTTCAAGCCCCAGTACTGGCATGCCTGGGCACACGCATGTGCATCTTCGTCATCAGTTTTCTTGACCCTTTGGAAGGAATATTTGCCCCGTACTGCTGGTATTAAGGAGGCTCCCAGAGGCCCAGTCCGTGGATTTGGGTAGGAAACAAACCCTAGATCCTCCTCTGCAGGGACCTGGTCGTGCGGGGCCCGGCCCTTCCATCCACTGCCAGGGGCCACACAGCTACAGAGTTACCTTTGAAAGCGGCAATCCGGTGGTCCGGTGGTCTGGCGTGAGCAGGCCTGGGCTTCGGCTCAGCTCCCCCAAGTGATGGGTTCCCAGGTCTGTGCTGTGGTGAGGAAGGTTCCAGCATTTTCCAGTGCTTTGCAAGGACTGAGCCTCAGGCTGCGTAAGCCTCTTGCAGCCAGTCCTGCAGACCAGGTGAAGGGCGTCCTCTGAACTTTTAGCTCCACTGCCCTTTGGCTGGCCAGTTCCTTCAGTGCATGCAGTCACCACGGAATAGGGATACAAGAACCGGTAAGGTTGATTTTCTGGAAGAATGAACGTTCAAACCTGGGGTTATTAATTTGCTTGTGGGGCCTGGCTTTGAGTAGGACTCAGTGGGAGCCGCTCTGCCTGTTTGAACCTCCGTGAAGGGACTGGACAGGGAAGAAGGTCCCTGTGTTTCAATGATGGGCCTGAGGCGGCTACTTGGATGAATACATAATGAAGTGCTACTTTTTTAAGTGGAACAGACATTTTGGGGCCAAAACACAGGCTTTGGAGCCAGCAGACCCAGGTTTGAGTTTCTCCTTGAAGATGTGTCCTCTCCTATGGGAAGAGGACACACCGTGGCTCACAGCTGTAATCCCAGTTATTCAAGAGGCTGAGACCTGAGGATCACGGTTCGAAGCCAGCCTGGGCATCTTGGAGAGTTCCCTGAGCAACTCTGCACTTGGTGTTGGGTCGTTGTGTTCAGCTCGGCACGTGGCCAGGACTGTTGGCCAGAAACAGCCAGAGGTCACCTCCCAGGTGTTTTCCCAGAATGTTTCGACTTCCTGCAAACGTCATCATTTTGTTTGCTTCCCTTTGGCTCCTTGAAGCTTGAGACACTTTCCAGGCTGACCTGGAGGCTCCTGTCCCTGGGGGCTCTGCTCCCACTTTCTCTGGGACCCCTGAACCCTACCTAGCACCTGCTCATGTCCAGCACGGGCCGCCGGGCCGCCGCTGGAGTGGACGAGCCCTGGTCTGATCAGGTCTTGGGCCCGCCCGGTGGTGGCAGTCAGTGGTCTGCTCCTTCCCACTCGCCCAGGCATGGCTGCCTGGGACCCCAAGGCAGAGGGCAGGGGGGGAAAGGGGAGACTGTGCAGCTGGCATGGCCCTTCCTGATGGGGAAGGTGGCTTCCCAGGGGCTCCCAGGAGGGCCATCCTTGTACCCACCCTGCCTCCCTTCCCTCCCCAGGGGCACCCATGGGTACATGGCTCCCGAGGTGTTGCAGAGGGGCACATCCTACGACAGCAGCGCTGACTGGTTCTCCCTGGGCTGCATGCTTTTCAAACTCCTGCGAGGGTGAGTGAGCCTCCCGCCCCGCCCCGCCCCCGCCTCCCCGTCCCGCCCTGCCCCCACCCCGCCCCGCCCCCCACCCTGCACCCCACCCTGCACCCCTGCCATCTGGAGATCTGGGGCTGCAGCCCTGGGTGTGCACAAGGCCTCAGCACCAAAACCAAAACCCAAACTCAAAAAACCTAGAAACAATCAGGACCCTTCAGCTACACATAGATCAGGAAGCCCATGCCGGCTCTGTCAGTCTGTCTGTCTCTAAGGCTTGTAGAGTCACATTTGTGGCTTTACATTTTCGTTCTTATTATGCAAATCACAGTACTTTTGATCTGGGACTAAGCGAAACAGGGTGAGAGAAAAACAGGTCCACTTTGAAACACTTTAAAAAATGTATTGCCAGGTGCTGGTGGCTCACGCCCGTAATCCTGGCTGCTCAGGAGGCTGAGATCTGAGGATTGAGGTCCAAAGCACAGCCTGAGAAAGAAAAATCTCTTATCTCTAATTAACTACTAGAAAGCTGGAAGTGGTGCTGTGGCTCAAGTGGTAGAGCGCTAGCCTTGAGCAAAAAAAACCCTCAGGGACAGTGCCCAGGTCATGAGTTCAAGCCCCAGGTCTGGCAAACACACACACACACACACACACACACACACACACACACACGTATGGATTGTGGAAGGAGGTGGGATAATTTTTCTCATGCTTTGCCAGGGAAACTAAGGCATTTTTGAGGCTTATGCAAAAAGGCCAATTTTAAAAGTTTACATTTGTTTGTAAATATGCTCAAAGTCATTTTTGCTTTTAAAGCTTGATATTATATGTGATCCTTGTTCTAAACTGAAAGATGATCAAAGAGAATAGGAAAGGAAAGCTCAAGTGGCAAGCTGGGCAGTCGGGTGGTGGTCCTGTTTCCAGAAGGTTTAGCCAACTTTTAGTGGGACTTCAGTATTTTTATGTGTGCCTGTGGCAGGGTTTGAACTCAGGGCCTGGCCACTCTCCCTTCAGTGTTTCCCTTAAGGTTGGCCTCTACCACTTGGGCCACAACTTCACTTCCAGCTTTTTAATGGTCAATTGGAGGCAAGGGTTTCATGGGCTTCCTGCCTGGGCTGGATTTGAACCTCCATCCTCAAATCTCAGTCTCCTGAGTAGCTAGGATGACAAGTGTGAGCCACCAGCCCTGGCTGAGGCTTCAATTGTAGTACAACTTAGAGTGCATTCAGATTCTAGAAAGACCCAGAAACCCCTCTCCTTATGTCACTAGTTCCCACCTGGAGTCTGGAGCTCCTCCATTCCTCAGAAAGCCCAGGGCTGTGCTGGCTGTGCGTATTAGCGCCTTCTGCCAAGGCCGTGCCCCCCCCCCCCCCAGGAGTCTCTTCAGGACGCCAGTAATCCAGTTGTCAGCTAACCGCTCACCCCATCCACGTGGGATGTCAGGTTGTATTCTTGCTCTGAAAGCCAGGCCTGTTATTCAGTAATTGAATCTTGGTGCATGTGGAGCCTGGGCGGCTTTAATTCCTGTCTTCAGACTCGCTGAGCGGATTAGCACATTTGTGCAGGGCAGCGGTGCAGTGCCCTCCGGGGCATCCTGTGGGGCCTGGGCGAACCCCCCTCCCCCACTGGGAATGAGGGTGCCAACCCCCACCGGAAGACACAGGGAATGGGGCAAAGCCTCCCGGCCATGGGGCTGTCCAACGCAAAACCCAACAGTAAACATGTCCCAGGGACGCCGAGGGGTGCTGAGTTTGAGGGGTGCTGAATTTGGGGGGTGCTGAGTTTGGGGGGTGCTGAGTTTGAGGGGTGCTGAGTTTGAGGGGTGCTGAGTTTGGGGGGTACTGAATTTTGGGGGTGCTGAGTTTGAGGGGTGCTGAGTTTTGGGGTGCTGAGTTTGAGGGGTGCTGAGTTTGGGGGGTCCTTTCTTTGGCACTGCACCTGCTGCAAGGCAGCACATCAGGCCTGTCTGCTGGGCCATGGCCTGGGGTCGGGGCAGGCAGCGACCCGGGCTGCCTCTGCCCACCTCGGCCGCCATCATGGAAGCCAGGCACTGGACAGCTTGCTTCCACTTCAAGTTGTCAAGTCCGGAGTTCACGGGCATGAGGTGGCCTCTGGCGAGGGCCTCCAGCGCCACCCCAGCGGGGTGGAGGGAGCCCACGGTGGGCGAGCACAGAGAGCTCGGGGAGGATGGAACAAGAGCCAGGCCTGGCAGCTCACGCCTGTAATCCCAGCTAGGCGGGTGAGCAGTGTACTTAGGAGGATCGAGGTCCAGGCTTGGCAGCTCACACCTGTAATCCCAGCTAGGCGGGTGAGTAGTGTACTTAGGAGGATCGAGGTCCAAGGCCCATTCCTGGCAAACGCATGAGACCCTGTCTGAAACGCAAACTAAACAAAACAGAGCAGGAGACATGGCTTCAGGGAGAGCGCCTGCCTGGCAAGTGCGAGGCCCTGAGTTCAAACCCCCATACTGCCAAAAAAAAAAGGAGTAGCAGCAAGAGAGGTCAGAAAGGCAAGCCCACTCAGCCACCCAGTCAGGGCTGCGCTCCATGAGGGAGGGCCCGTGTCCCCGCGCCTCGCCCCGTGGGCCACCGTCTCTGTCCCCACGCAGTGCCCCGCGTCCTCGGCTCTGCACACAGGAGCCAGGCCTGCAGCAGTTCCCCAGACGCCGGGCCGTCACGGAACGCCTCTCCACAGGCCGTGGATTCCCGCGGGGGGAGAGGCCACGCGGCTGGCGGACAGAACAGCGGTCCACGAGAGGCCGCTAGCTGTGATTCCCTCTCCCTCGGCGGCCGCGCACCACCGTGCGTCTGTGGAAGGGACGCGCAGACGATGCTTTTTAAAATAACGGCCATTTTACAATAAGAAATGACACTTGGTTTTCACACTTGCTTTTTCCACACAACAGTTTGGCCGTTTGGTTTTTCCCTCCTTGGAAACCAAGACAGGGTCGCATATGTCTCTTTTTTGGCTTTCAAGCGTCAATAGTCAAGAGGCGGTGCCATCTCAGTTTGCATATTTAAAAGTATCTTTAAAAATAGCAGACAGAAAAAGCAGGCCTAGTGTGTGGTGTGCAGCTGGCAACGTGTGCTAACCTCCGTTCACGCCGTCCCGGGATCCGCCCTGTGCCACTGGAGGGACTCCGGACTCCGGAGCCCCGGGCTCTGATTGGGTGGAGTCTGATGAAGGGCCCCGCCCTGGGGGGAGGGGACTCCTAATGGAGCCAGAAAGGATTGATGCGTTTTGGCTGGGCTCTAGGCCGAGCCACGACCTGGCTTTGATGGAGGTTCTTGGCTTGTTTCGGGGACTGTGCACCTATTGGGTGGATAATTGGCACCAGTGTTGATCCTCAGCTCAGCCACACAAGGTGGATTTGTGCAGGCGTAACATGTCCATGACCACCCGGCTACCATCACCCCCTAGTGGCTGTCACTGGAAGCCTGTGGCCGGGCCACCATCTCTGGTCCATTCAGAGGGGCTCTGGTGCTGGCTCCTAATCCATGTCCCCCAGGTTCTGCCCTTTTCTTTCTTGAATGAACAGTAAGCGGACACCAGACATTTCTCAGCCGGTGTGCTAGGTTACCTGGTGCCGTATTTTCTTAGAACTTTCTGTCTTTACAGACACAGCCCCTTCAGACAGCATAAAACCAAAGATAAGCACGAGATCAACAGGATGACGCTGACAGTGGTAAGAGGTGTTAAAGTCTATTCCTTCTAATGCTTTCCTCCCGGTACCAGTGCTGGGGCTTGCACGAGAGGCCGACCGCTCTCCCCAGCTTGTCTGCTTGGCTGGTTACTCTACCACCTGAGCCATGTTTCCAGCTCAGTCTTTTACTGGTAAACTGGAGACAGTCTCTGGATAGACATTTGTGGCCCATGATAGCCTGAAACCCTGATCCTCCAGATCTCAGCCTCCTGAGTAGCTAGGATTATAGGCAAGAGCCACTGGTTCTCAACACATACACACACACACACGCACACACACACAAAGTTTTTGTTTGCATCATAGTTTTACTTTTCATTAAGAATAAAATATTGGTAACTGTAAAATATCTTTCAAGGTAAAGATCATATTATGTGGTAATACAAAGAATAATATATCATTGATAAATATAAAAAATAAAATATTTTTCATTTCTGAAATACATAAATAAATCAAAACAAAATCTCTAGACTTCCTAAAAGAAAAAAAAAAAAAGAATAGAAACAGAGGCCAAAGCAATGCTCAAGATTTGCAAAGCAACAGCACAAGAAAGATGTGAACGAGCCCAGCCCACAGCTAAGAAAGGGACTAAAGGGAAGGCTCCCTCCTGGGGAGGCCCGAGAGATGGAGGAGGGAGCTGGAGAGGCCCGGGGAGCCGGAGCATGCTGTCTTCATGTCTCCACTCTGCTGATGGATTCAACCCTTTCTGTGTTTCGTGGGTGTGAGTGTTAATCTGTAATGCATCTGCAGTTTCCAGTACTGTCCTTACCCAGGCGTAGCCTCCCGTTCTGGCAGGGCCGGGAGCCGCTGTCTCCACCAGTGGGCCCTGAAGTCCGCCTCTTCTTTCCGCAGAATGTGGAGCTCCCCGACGACTTCTCCCCGGAGCTCAAGTCCCTGTTGGGGGGCCTTCTGCAGCGGGATGTGAGCCAGAGGCTGGGCTGCCAAGGCCGCGGGTGCGTCCCCTTCCCGACGCTCACCTGTGTATTCCCGGCCCCTGGACCCTGCGCCTGACGAGGGTGGAGTGGAAAGAGTATGGAAGGACGCAAGGCGGATATCTGTGTGTGGATCTGTGTCCTTTCTAACCAAGAGTTAACTTCTTTCTGTTCTGGGGCTTGAACTCAGGGCCTCCAGTGTGCGCCGCGTGTGGTGCTCTACCACTTGAACCATGCCTCCAGCTTGGTTTTTTGCTGGGTGATTAAAGACAGCATCTCAGCCTTTATTGCTTAGGCTGCTTTTGAACTGAGATCCAGAGAGGATCTCAGCGGGGCTTCTTAAGGGCCCTGTGCAGGGTTGTGCCCCAGGGGGTAGACAGCAGACGGAGGCCCAGCCTCTGGGGTTCTGCCACAGGTCAGTGTTCTGCTGCTCCGTGTGTGTGTGTGTGTGTGTGCGTGTGTGTGTGTGTGTGTGTGTGTGTAGGGGGGGAGGCGGCCTTCAACCTGCCTGTGCTCTGTTTCCCATCCCCCCAGGGCCCAGGAGCTCAAGGAACATGGCTTCTTCACTGGCATCGAGTGGCAGCTGGCTTACCTGCAGAAGGTGAGCTCCGCCACCCCGGGCTCCCCGCCCGCCTGTCCCTCTGTGCCCAGGCCCCCAGCCTGGCCGCCTGAGTGTCCCTGTGTGGCCACGTCCCCCGGGGGCCACCCCCCCCCCGGGGGCCACCCCCCTCCCCCTCAGATCCCTCCTGGATCTGTGGATTCCCCCTTAGGCAGGAAGGAGCTTTGAGTGCACCCAGTCGGTGCAGGCTTCTCTCCCCCCCACCCCCTCACCGCATTGTTCCTGAGCAGCGCGGGTGAGCAGGCAGCCTGTGGGAGTTGGTGTGATCTGGGTCCACAGTTTCCTTTGTGTAGCGGGTGGTTTGCACCAAGCCACACCCAGCCCCCCTTCCTGTTTTAAGCTTCTATTGTCATATCCGTGGATACAGCAAAGATACAAATTATTGTTGTTGTTGTTGTTACTGTTGTTATTTTGCAGCTCAGGGAGTTGAACTTGGAGCCCGAGCTTGTGAGGCAGACACTCCAGCACTTGAGCCATGCCCCCAGTCCCGTTTTTGTTTGCCTTAGTTATTTTTAGGTAGGATCTCGCGGTGTTTTTCTGGGGCCAACCTCGGGTCCCTCCCGTCGCAGGCGTGGCCAGCATGCCCCACGAGTCCTGTTGGAGGCGTCTGTGGCTCCTGGCTGTGGAGGATGGGGGTTTTCTGGGGGAGCCCCAGCTGTCCATCCGCTGACGTAGAATCTGGGCTCAAGCGCCAGTTCAGGGAGCGGCCCAGGGGTGCACGCTGGCCGCGTGGAGTCCTGTGAGGGCCCCGCTGGGCGGGGCTGCGGCCGGTCCCCATCGCGCCACACTGCCCGAGGACAGGAGGAAAGGTGGACGAGAAGCCGGGGCTGCAGGCTCTGGTCCTCGTCTCGTTAACCACTGGTTAAGACACTAGATGGTGCCTGGCTTTCTGGGTCCAGACCTGGGGTTCCCTCCCCCACCCCAGCCCCTACAGGGCGAGGCAGAGCCTTCTGTGAAGCACGCAGGGTGCATCACTGGGGCCCAAGGGGGCGCCAGGCGCGGGGCTGCTGGCGCCCAGCCTGTCAGCAGCCTAGGATGCTGGCTGGGGCTGTGAGCATCTTCCTTAACTCCGTCCTTTGCCTCCTCAGTACCCACCGCCCCTCATCCCGCCCCGGGGGGAGGTCAACGCTGCCGACGCCTTTGACATCGGCTCCTTTGACGAAGAGGACACCAAAGGCATTAAGGTGCACACACGAGGGCCCCGTCTCCCTGGTGTTTGGGAGGTGTGACGGGAAGATTCCCACTGAGAACCCATCAAGCATAGTGATGCCCGTGTGGAAATCACTGCGATATTTGAAGCATGTGTAAGTTAAGAACCTACATGAAAGCCAGGCGCCGGTGGCTCACGCCTGTAATCCTAGCTACTCAGGAGGCTGAGATCTGAGGATCACGGTTCAAAGCCAGCCTGGGCAAGAAAGTCCATGAAACTCTTAACTCCAATAAACCACCAGAAAACCAGAAGTGGCGCTGTAGCTCAAGCGGTAGAGCGCTCGCCTTGAGCTGAAGAGCTGAGGGGCAGCACCCAGGCCCAGAGTTCAAGCCCCACGACCACCACCACCAACAACAAAAAGAACCTACATGAGTTTGACTCCATGAAAACTTGGCTTGTACAGAACCTTGGTGTTACTCAGCAGGCTGCAATCAGGATTATGGGGGGAAGAGTTTGCGAGAACCCCATCTTAACTAGCAGCTGGGAGGGTTGACTCATGCCTAGCTACTCAAGGGGCAGGGATTGTGGGAAGATCAGTTTTGGGCCAGCCCAGGCCAAAAAAAATTTGGCGAGACCCCATCTCAACAGGAACAGCGGCCCGGCCCATTTCCCTCAGCCGCTTGCATGTATCTCCTCCTCCTGTCTGTCCCTGTGTGGTCCCCCCCCCCCCCGCCCTGCCCCCCCCACATCCGTCCCTTCCCTCAGAAGGCCATGGGCTCTGGCTGGAGGAGGCCAGGAGGTGGGGGAGGACAGCGCGTGGAGGCCAGGGCCCAGCAGCCAAGGACGGAGGTGGCTGTCTGGTGGGGAGAGGGGCTGCGTGGTGGGGGTTCTGGGGTACACAGGAGCAGCTCCCCGAGGTCCAAGCTGTGGCTGGCCTGCTGGTGCTGCCAGACCAGTGCCAGACCACGCCGGCTCCTCCAGGCCTGGCCTGCGAGTGAGCCAGACATGCTGTGCTGGGCCGAGGCACGCACGCACACACGCAGCACACACGCACGCACGCAGCGCGCTCAGGCCCCGCACGTTCTCAGACCCGAGACCTCTCCACACAGGAATCTCAGCTGCTTCTCCAGTCCTGGGGCCCGAACTCAGGGCCTGGCACCGCCTCTGAGCTTTTGGCTCAAGGCCATATCAGTTTCCTACTCCAGCCACTGCGCCATGTCTGGCTTTTTGGTAGTTAATTGGAGATAAGAGTCTCTCGGGGACGTTTTCTGCCTGGGCTGGCTTTGAACCTTGATCCTCAGATCTCAGCCTGAGAAGCTAGGGTGACAGGTGTGAGCCACTGGCACTAAAAAAGGAAAAAGCTCACTTCATCGGTCCATGTAAACACAAGTTCTGTTCTTTTACGTCATTTACCAACCCAGCCTGCAACACAGACACACACACGCGTGCACACGCATGCACACGCACGCACACATGGGCGCGTGCCTCTCCTCACATTTAGGACTGGGGGTTTCAGCGCGGGGCAGAGGTTGTGTGTTTGGAGACAGTGGGGTGGCTTCCCAGCGGGCGCCCCTCAGCTCTGCTCCACCGGCCTGCACGGGCGGGGCCGCTCAGGCCGGCTCCCCTGGCGGCCCTCCGCTCACCCCGCCCGGGCATCAGAAGTCTCGTGAGAGATCATCTCACACATCTCGCTTTCTCTCTATGAAGGGTGGCCCTGCTTCCTTTGGGGCGCTGTCTCTCAGACTCCAGAAGCCCTGTTATCCGCTTAAGAGAGCAGAAGGAAGACTTTGAAAGGCCATCATTAAAGTAATTGTTAGCACTAGTCTCAGAGGCTACGGTGGCCAAACCCTCCCTGTATCCTGCACTTTACATTGATCAATTCATTACTGTATTTAGTGCTGGCCCTGGAGCTTGAATTTAGGGTCTGGGCACTGCCCCTGAGTTGTTTTTTGCTCAAGGTTGGTGCTCTACCACTTGAGCCTTAGCTTCACTTCTAGCTTTTCGGTGGTTTATTGGAAATAAGAGTCTCGTGGGACTTTCCTGGCTGGGGCTGGCTTCGAACCACGGTCCTCAGACCTCAGCCTCCTGAGCAGGGAGGATGACAGGTAGGATGCAGACGCGAGCCACCGCGCCCAGCTGCCCTTTAAATGTGAATGCATGGCCGTGGCATTTGCTCGCCGGGAAGGTTTGGGGGATGACGGGGAAACTCTGCCTCGAGCACCTGTGATTTCCTCACGGCTCCGGTGACTGCGGGAAGCTGGGACAGTCCCCTCCTCCCCCACATCCCCGCCTCTGAAACCACTGGCTTCTGCTCTCCTGCTTTGATAAATCAAACATTCCCCCCGTGATTGCAGCTTCACCTGGCCTTGAGATTTTTTTTTGTACTTAAAAAACAAACAAACCACCACACGTGCTAGTTTTCACGTGCACATCGTGACCCGCCGGGTGCAGGGCCGAGGGTGAGACGCTGCCACCTTGGTGGCCCCCACCGCCTTGGCCGTCACTGCCCGTGGCCGTGGTTTGTGACATGGACGGCCCCGTGGCCTTTGCCGCCAACCCCTGGTGCGCTAAGTCCCATCTCTCTTGGTTTCTTGGCACGATCAGCTGCTGGACTGTGACCAAGACCTGTACAGGAACTTCCCGCTGGTGATCTCGGAGCGCTGGCAGCGGGAGGTGGTGGAGACGGTGTACGACGCGGTGAACGCCGAGACAGATAAGATCGAGGCCCGGAAGAGAGCCAGGAGCAAGCCGCTGGGACAGGAAGAAGGTGAGGACGAGCCACGAGCCGGCACCCCGGCGATCCTGGGGCTCCCTCCGTCCTCCTCACCAAACCGCCCACACCTGCCGTTTCTGCTTATTATTTTCAGCCGTAGGACTTTGTGTAAAGATGCAGTCAGGGCTTCATAGAAGTCATCTCCCCACAGAACCACAGGGTGGGAGGAATGAACCCCAGCTTGGGTCGAGGGAGGAGTGACCCCTGTGTGACCTCTGACCCCATGGGCTCCAGTGTTGTGACGGGGTCACTCCATTGCCCTCTTAATCTAGGGTCTCGCACCCTGAATTCTTTGGGGGTGTGGGGAAGCCAAAGCCCGGCCCAGCGGTCCGCCATCACGCCCGGACATCTTCTCCTGCCCCGCGCGGTCCTGTGTGACCTGGGGTGTCTCTCTGTCCCCCAGATTACGCCCTGGGGAAGGACTGCATCATGCACGGGTTCATGCTGAAGCTGAGCACCCCGTTCCTCACGCAGTGGCAGCGGCGCTACTTCTACCTCTTCCCCAACAGGCTGGAGTGGCGAGGGGACACCGAGTCCCGGGTGAGCGCAGGGCCGCGGCCCTGGGGAGGACGGGCAGGCCCGCGCCCGCAGCCGGGGTTCTAACCCAGCCCCCAACTTGGGGGCTCCCCTCAGGGAGGCCTGCGTGGGCCCGAGTGGCCAAAGGGGCTGGGGCGGGGGCAGGGGGAGGGACGGGGGTATGTGGGCAAGAATGGGGGCACCACATCCGACAGCTGCTCACCCCCGCCTCAGTGTCTCTGGGACTTGGGGCCCAGCGCAGTGACGCAGCCTCAGTTTCCCCACCTGTGAAGTGGGAGAAGCGAATCAGCTGCCACACTGATTGTTGCGTGCATCTCCAAGGCCAGGTTCTGTGAAGGGACAGATCCCATGCGTCCAGCCACCTCAGGGGTCCAGGGGAGGCCCAGCCTGGCTCGGGGGCAAGCCGGGGTGAGGCGGGGCGAGCGGCCATGTCCACGGTGGCCCTCGGTCCCTCCCCGGGTCGCCAGCAAGTAGAAGGTCTCCAGAGATGGAAGTGAGGCCCCGCAGGGTCCCGAGCGCCCCGCGCCGCTCTGCGCTGGGGGAGGGCGGCCGCAGGCGGCACAGGTCACAGGCCCGGCTGCTGCCTTCCCGGGTTCTGTTCACAGTGAGCGTGGACGGACGAGACAGAGGGAAGGCGTGGTGTGTGCTGCACCTGCTGCGAGCCGCCGGCAGAGGCCGCCTCTGCCCGGGACACGAGTGCTGGAGGGTGGGCCGCAGGCCGGAGTGCGGCACCCAGGGCCCGCAGTGGGTTGGTTCCACCCTGGATGAGCTTTCATCGCTGAGGGGTGAAGTTCCCTTATCATCCCAAGCGAGCGCAAATTACCAAATCAAATCTCATTCTTGAGTCGAAGATGTCACTTTAAAGAATTCACACAGGGGCTGGGAAGGTGGCTTAGTGGTAGAGCGCTTGCCTTGCATGCCTGAGGCTCTGGGTTCGATTCCTCAGCACCACATAAGCAAAAAGAAAAAAAAGCCAGAAGTGGCGCTGTGGCTCAAGTGGTAGAGCGCTAGCCTTGAGCTGAAGAGCTGAGGGACAGCGCCCAGGCCCAGAGTTCAGGCCCCACGACCGGACCCAAAAAAAAAACAAAAAGAATTCACACAGCCTGGACCTGAGTGGCGAGTAATCAAACCGCCTTTGGGGGCTCTGGGTTGGAATCCAGGAGCTCCTGAGTGGGCAGCAGCTGTCTGGAGCCAAGTCTCCCGCTGGATAAGGAGCAGGCCTGGATGCCGCCGCCACTGCTGCCTCCTCCTCCTCCTCATCTTCCTCCTCCTCCTCTTTCCCCTCCTCCTCTTCTTCCTCCTCCTCTTCCTCTTCCTCCTCCTCCCCCTTCCCCTCCTCCCCCTCCCTTCCTCCTCTTCCTCTTCCTCCTCCTCCCCTTCCCCTCCTCCCCCTCCCTTCCTCCTCTTCCTCTTCCTCCTCCTCCTCTTCTCCTCTCCTCCTCCTCCTCCTCCTCCTCCTCCTCCTCCTCTTCTTCTTCTTCCTCTTCCTCCTCCTCCTCCTCCCCCTCCTTCTCCTCCCCCCCTCCTCCTCCTTCCCCCTCCTCCTCCTCCTCCTCTTCTTTCTCCTCTTCCTCCTCCTCCTCCTCCCCTTTCCCCTCCTCCCCTCCCCCCTTCTCTTCTTCCTCCTCCTCCTCCTCTTCCTCCCCTTCCCCCTCCCCGCCTCCTCCTCTTCTTCTTCCTCTTCCTCCTCCTCCTGCTCTCCCCCTCTTCCTACCCCCTCCTCCTCCTCCCCCTCCCCTCCTCCTCCTGCTCCCCCCTCCTCCTCCCCCTGCTCCCCCTCCTCCTCCTCCTCCCCCTCCCCTCCTCCTCCTGCTCCCCCCCCCTCCTTCTCCTGCTCCCTTCCTCCTCCTTCTTTCTAGTCCTGGGGCTTGACACTGGGCCTGGGCCCTGTCCCTGAGCATTGCCTGCTCATTTGGGATTCCTGGAGTATTTATCCAAAAATAAATACAGAACTTGCGCGGCTGTGGCAGGCGGCTCAGGCAGAGGCTTAGGCAGATGGGCCCGGGGGACTATCTTGTAACGGCGCCCCCCCCCCCCAAACTGAGGGCAGTGCTTTGATGTGATGGAAATGTCATTGGCTTCCCAGCCAGCATCGGCAGACGCTTTCCTTGGAGTTGCCAGGCTGCAGACGATGGTGCTTGTGCTGGGGAAATCCTCACTTCCCACGCAGCCGGCCCACGCCGGCCCCGCGCCCCCACAGCCAGTGCTGAGGCCTGGGCAGGGGCCGCGCGGCTCCTGCACAGGATGCGGCTCCCCTCGCTGACTTCTTGAGATCCTCTGCCCGGAACCTCGATCCATAGCCCACATTCTCCCCTGGCTTCTGGAACATCATCAAAGAAATGTGTGCATGTGCGCACGCGCGCGCACACACACGCACACACACATGCCACACACGCTGTTTTCTTAAAGTTATTCTTTTAATGTAGGCGATCACGAAATGACTTGAGGTAACACGTCCCGCCCTTATCTTTCTGATCAGCAAAGTTTACTGACCATGGAGCAGATTCTGTCGGTGGAAGAAACTCAGATCAAAGACAAAAAGTGCATATTGTTCAGAATAAAAGGAGGGAAGCAGTTCGTCTTGCAGTGTGAGGTGAGTTTGTGAGTTTGTTTGTTTTCTCTTAGAGGAAAGTTAGAATAATTGCATACATAACAAAGCCAGAGGCCTGGTGATAACCTCTGCTTTATCAAGAAAGCCTTACAGACTTGGCAGGAAAGCTTCAGGTAGAGGTTGGTTTTTGTGGTGGTGTCGTTGTTTGGTTTGGTTTTGGGGGCCAGTTCTGGGGCTTGAACTCAGGGCCTCTCTCTCAACCTTAGCTTTCCCCACCCCTGGCTGGCCCATCTCCACTTCTGGCTTTTATTTTGCTGGTTCATTGGAGATCAGAGTCTCACACACTTTCCCACCTGGTTGGCTCTGAATCACGATCCTCCGATCTCAGCCTCCTGAGTGGCTAGGATGACAGGTGCCCATAAGAGGCCAGGCTCCGGAGGGATCCTGGCGGGCGGGCTGTCCACCCGGCTGAGCGGCCCGAGGCTGGCGGTGGGGCGTGGCTTTGTTTCTGCACGCCTCACCCCTGCTGCCCTGTGTCGCCTTCCAGAGCGAGCCCGAGTTTGCGCAGTGGAAGAAGGAGCTGACCCAGGCCTTCATGGAGGCCCAGCGGCTCCTGCGCAGCGCCCCCAAGTTCCTCAGCCGCCCCCAGGCCGGCATCCTGGACCTGTCCAAGCCGCCGCTGTGTCACAGGAGCAGCAACGGCTTCTGACCCCGGGAGCCTCGGGGGGCTGCCGCCCCGCAGCAGAGCCTCAGGGGATGTGAGAGGCCAGCCTGGCTGGGCTCCTAGACAGCGGGAGGCCCAGGTCACAGTGCCCTCAGGGGGCCGGATCGCCCCAGGGCGGGTCAGTCCTGGGCCTGCCTGACGGCCGTGATTGCACTGAACACTCCTGCCCAGCCGAAGTTCTTTTCCTTTGCTACACACTGGCGTTGGAAGCCACAGACCCGGGACTTGAGATGACTCCTGCCGATCGCGTCAGCTTTCCTGCCTGACATGAAACACGTCTCTGGCCCTCCGGGAGGAGACGCACAGACCTCCGTGCCGGGACGGTGGATTGACCTCAGTCGGCGTGGCTGCGTGTGACCCGCGGTCGGCTGCGGCTGGCTCCGGGCCGCTCCTGGGCTGCGGTCTGTGTTGTCACAGGTGTCATCCTGCGGCGCTCATGGGCAGTGCCGGGGCTGCGGTGAGCTGGGAACCTCAGGGCAGTCAGGACGATCGGGTGACAGAAGGCGGCCATGGCTATGGGGAGGAGGGGGTGTCCATCCGTGGCAAAGCCTGAAGCGCGGTGGGCTCGGCACCTGCGTCCCCCGCCGCACGGCCATCGTCCAGGCCCCCTCCCCCCCCCCCGGCTGCCCCGTGCTGGGGCGCGCATCAGAGAGACGAGAATGGCCGTCTTACATTGCACTGTCATTAAAAAAACAAAGCCCAGAAGGCTGAGGTGTGCATCGGGCGACGGAGTTCTGTGGCTCTCGGTGGGACTGGAGCAGGGGCCGCGCGCCCCGCCCCGGCCCGCCAGACCTCACGGACGCGGCCACACACAGCCCAGCACGTGTCCCCGCCACCAGACAGCAACGCCATTGGAAAGCTCCTCCACAGAGGCTGATCAGATGCACTCAGCCCACTTTTAACAATACAAACAAGTTGATCTCACATCCTCCATCTCTTTTTAGTGGTTTTTATATTTGTGTGATCATTGAGGACACAGGTAGTGTGTGTGTGTGTGTGTGTGTGTGTGTGTGTCCATGTCCTGTGGCTTGAACTCAGGACCTGAGAGCTGTCCCTGGGCTTTCTCTCAAGGCTGGCGCTCTGCCGCTTGAGACAAGGCTCCCCTTCCCTGTGGCAGCACCTTTGATTGGAATTGTATGTTGAGCATGTTGGAAAGAATGTGCGGAATGGTCCTGCGGCTGCGCGGCCTGGCAGCGAGCAGGGGTGTGGGCTTCCCTCCATCTTCATCTCCAGCTGGGGTTTAAGTCAACACGAAGGCGGCCCTCTGAGCCTGGCATGGGGAAGGAGTGCCGGGTGCTCTGAGGGGAGCCCGGACGCGGGCTGTTTGAAGTGCACACGTGCACGCGTGCACACACGCACACACACACACACACACACACACACACACACACACACACATTCTCAGCGGGTTGTTTTCCTTCCTGGTCATGTGGAAGTAAGATTTTTCAGCAAGGTTTGACTTCTCAAATTGAGCCACTGTTTCACTCACCAAGCCAAGGACCCATCCTCCAGTGGGCAGCGCCTGGCATTACACCTTCAAACGGCACATGAGGAGTTTGGAGAGTAGGCGCTCTGCTCAAGATAGATCACAGCAGCCGGGCACGGTGGTGCATGCCTGTAACCTCAGGAGGACCAAGAGTTCAAGACCAGCCTAGGCTATGTGATGAACCCCCATCTCAAAACCCCAAGGGCTGGGAGGTGTAGCTCAGTGGTGGAGTATGTGGTTGGCCTGGACAGGGCCCTGGGTTCATTCCCAGGGGGAAGGGGGGGGGGTTGGCACGGGCCATATGGTTATCTAAAGCCTTGTAGCTTTAAAACGGTGGTAACCCGTTTGTCAGTGTGACTACGGATCCAGGGGTGTTTTTCTCCTGGTTTTTAATTTCACCTAGAGTTTATCGTGGGGCCGATTCAATGCAGCACTTTTCTCACAAATGTGTGGTGATTTTCACGGATCTAGAGGAAAATGAGATTCTCAGTGTGTTTTTTTCACATGATGTGAATTTCTAAAAATGCTTTGCAAGCAGCCTGTGTGAGATAAGGCCTTCATCCTCCTCCCCTCACGCTCAGGAAGATGGCTTCCCTTCCCCTGCTCCTGGTGGGCGGGGCTGAGGCGATGGGGAGGGAGGGGGGGGCGGGAATAAGAGAGGGCCAGGTGCGGTGGCACACGCCTGAAATCCCAGGATCTGGAGATCAAGGCGGGAAAAACATCAACAACAGCAGAACAGAGAGGCTGAGAGCTGCTCCCCTTACAACACAGCGTCAGTACTCAGGGCCGTGGGCTCGGGCGGGTAGGCCAGGAGGAGGGTGTTGCCTGATGCATTCGGGAGCCCGACTTTAAGTGGCCTTCACTAAGACCTGCGCGAAGCCACGTGCGAGCCCGAGTATGTGGGTGGAATTTAACAACAAAACACCAAACTGAACTCAAACTCATGCAGCGGCTGCCGCCTCTCCCTCCTTCTGTTACCGAGGACCCGGTGTTTAGATCCTTCCTTCCCCGCTGTCTGCCCTGCCGAGCGGGTACGGCATGTGGTTTATAAGCTTAGCTAAATGCCCATCTTTTTCTTTTTAGTTCTACCCCTTAAAAGTGTACCTTCCTGCGTTTTAACTAATTACCATAGAGTCGGCTCCTTACGGGGAAAAGGAAGGTGGGGACATCCCCGAATCTAAGACACGGGGGCTCTCTGCCCAGTGACTCGGGAGGCTGAGATACATTCAGAGGCTCACCGTTCAATGCCAACGTTAGGTAGAAAACTCTGCCAGACTCCATCTCCAGTTTACCAGCAAAAAAAGCCAGACTGTAGGCCTGGCTCAAGTGGTAGAGCGCCAACCGTGGGGGGGGGGGGTGGCAGACTGAGCCCAAGGTCCCCTGGGTTCAAACCCTGGTATAGGCATAAAAAGGAGGGGGGTCTTGGCTGACCGTGGGGTCGGGGCTGAGATGCATCTCCCACAGCCCAGCGGGAAGCCCCAGCCTGGCCCAGTCACAGCAGCGTTGCAGGGAAACCACCGGGGGGCGCTCTCCTCAGCCGCCTGTGGTGTTATTCTTCATTATTTCTTCTTACATTTTATTTTTGTATATGCCTGTCAAACTCCTGTGGGTCCTGAACTCAGGGCCCGGGTGCTGTCCCTGAGCTTTTTTTTTACTCAAGGCTAGTGCTCTACCCATTGAGTCATAGCTTCATTGTGGCTTTTTGCTGCTTCATTGGAGATAAGAGTCTTGTGGCCTTTCCTGCTTGGGCTGGCTTTGAACTGCAATCCTCAGACCTCAGCCTCCTGAGTAGCCTCCTGAGTAGCCTGGATTACAGGCGTGACTGCTGGGCAGGTTCTGTTTTTGTCTTTTTTTCATAGTGCCTCAGGTGAGCCGGAGGCCTCCGGGCCTGGGGCTTGCCCGCTGCCTGGGCTTGGAGCCCACAGCCACCGACGATCCTGGCAGCGCCTCAGAGCCTTGCCGTGCGGGCTGGGGCCGGCGTGCATCCGTTCGTGGTAGCTGGGAAATGATGGTTTGTGTCGGTCTCTTTGGTGTTCATTCTGTATGTCCTTGCTCTGAGCGCGTCGATTCCTCCCGAGGGTCCCAGGCTCCGGGGTGGGAAACCCCCCAGGTGGCTGGTGAGGCCGAATGCATGCATCTGGGAAACTGAGTCAGGCATCTGGACGGGGAGGCTCAGGCGTCGCAGGTGGAGCGTGGGGGTAGGGGGAGGCTGCTCCTGACCCCGGCTTCCCTCCTGCGCAGTGGCTGGCTGGCGGGCCGCGGAGCACTGTCATGGGCTGTCATCTCCTTCAGAGCCAGGGCAAGGTCACGCAAGGCCACGCCCTCAGGCACCTCGTGGGTGTGTCCGGTGGTGGACGGCCCGGGGTGGCCGCAGAGGTCACGGTGGGCTAGGCCCTCCTTCCAACTGGGGTCCTCTCCCGCTGTCCAGGGGGTGGCGGCCCTGGGGGCCCATCGATCCCTCCAGGCTCCCCTCAAGGTGGAGGTTGGTGGACACTCTTGAGAACAATGGGAGCTTGGGACAATGCAGGGCAGAACTGGGAACCCAGTGTGGGACGCAAAGGGATTTCTCGTAGCATCAGCCAGGGCCAGCAGCCGAGACACCGGGGAGACCGAAGAGACCAGAGCCGGGGTGCAGGGTCAGACCAGACGAACCCCCAAGACTGACTGAGCCAGCAGGCGCCCGGCACGCCTGTCATCCCCGCTAGCCGGGAGGCTGAGCTCTGAGGATGGCCGCTCGAAGCCAGCTCTGGTGGGAAAGTCTGTGAGACGCTTATCTCCAATTGACCACCAAAACGCTGACATGGAGCTGTGGCTCAAGTGGTAGAGTGCCAGCCTTGAGTGAAAGAAGCTCACAGATGACACAGTGAAAGAAGGAGAAGGAGAAGGAAAAAAGGAAGGAGAGGAGGAGGAGGAGGAGGAGGAGGAGGAGGAGACGTTGACGATGATGTTGGTGGAACCCCAACTAATGCTGGTGGCCTGGGGCCAGGCAGAGCTTTGCTGGGGTGGGGAATGAGGCCTGGTCCTGGGCGTGGGAACAGGTGAGCCAAAGGATGTGAGTCCCGACGCTGGCCCTCGCTAGCTGCCAGCCTGCGGCCCCTCCCCTCCCCTCCCCCTCCCCCACCCTCCCCCACCCTCCCCTCCCCCACCCTCCCCTCCCCTCCCCCACCCTCCCCTCCCCTCCCCCTCCCCCCCCACCCTCCCCTCCCCTCCCCTCCCCCTCCCCCACCCTCCCCTCCCCTCCTCCTCCCCCCTCCCCTCCCTCCTTTTTTTTCTCCTCTCTTCCTTAACCCTTCTCTATCTCCCCTCCTCCCATCTCCCTCCTTTCTCCTCCTTTTCTTTCTCCTCCTCCTTCCTCTCTGGCTCTCTCTCTCTCTGTCTCTCTGTGTCTGTCTCTGTCTTTGTCTCTGTGTCTGTGTCTGTGTGTCTCTGTGTGTATCTCTGTGTCTGTCTGTGTGTCTGTCTTTGTCTCTGTGTCTGTGTCTGTCGATCTGTCTCGGTCGATCTGTCTCTGTGTCTGTGTGTCTCTGTCTGTGTCTCTGTGTCTGTCTCTGTGTCCATCTGTCTGTGTCTCTTTCTGTCTGTGTCTGTGTCTCTGTCTCTGTGTCTGTGTGTCTCTTTCTGTCTGTGTCTGTGTCTCTGTCTCTCTGTCTGTGTGTCTCTGTGTCCACCAGTCTGTGTCTCTTTCTGTCTGTGTCTCTGTCTTTGTCTCTGTGTCTGTGTGTCTCTTTCTGTCTGTGTCTGTGTCTCTGTCTCTGTGTCTGTGTGTCTCTTTCTGTCTGTGTCTGTGTCTCTGTCTCTGTGTCTGTGTGTCTCTTTCTGTCTGTGTCTGTGTCTCTGTCTCTGTGTCTGTGTGTCTCTGTGTCCACCAGTCTGTGTCTCTTTCTGTCTGTGTCTCTGGGTCTGTGTCTGTTTGTCTCTGTGTGTGTCTCTGTGTATGTCTCTGTGCCTGTCTCTGTGTCCATCTGTCTGTGTCTCTGTCTGTCTCCGTGTCTGTCTGTCTTCCACTTTGAGCACTGTGTTAACACCCGCCTCCAGGACCAGCAGCACGTGAGGCTGAGCCCTGCCCTCCACTGCACCTGGGCCAAGCCCACAAACCTTTTTTGTGCCTTGGTTTCCCCATCTGTAAATGAAGGTTCCCCGCACACCCCCCCCAGTCTGGCACTGGTTGTTGGGAACGTGGGGTGAGCGGATTGGAGTCCAGCCCGGGCTCCCCAGGACAAGCCCTGCCCGCAAGGTGGACGTCCCCCGGCCCTTCTCCGGAGCCAGCCCTCGGCGCTTGGCTGGCCCTGAGCGTGGGCCACGGGCAGGGCGGCCGCGGGGCAGGGGTGAGGCCAAGAATGAGCTGCGGCCCCTCCCTGCTCCCCGCCACCAAATATGTCCATGCGATCTGCGCCGGTGACCGGCCGCCGCGCGTCCCGGGCCGGGCCTGGGACTCGGGCTAA